ATTTGGTAGATATTCCTTTTCGCTCTTTCTGAACCGAGCGACATCACTTTCATGCCAATTCATAAACTTTTTTGAAGGTGGGAGGGTCCCTTTAACCCTCGCCGGCACAGGGGGGAGGGGTTGATGCAACCCCCTAAGGTTTTTTTCGCGAAGAACTCGCGTAAAAAAGCGGCTGATCGCGACGTAACTTCCATAGTGCGCTGAAATTGGCGCAACTTATAGAACAAGGATGGGTAACGTGCCTGTGAAGAGTCACAGCTCGATCGGGCCGGTGGTGAGCACATGGCGCGTGCTCAAAAAGTGCAAATTCGCGTCATAGACTTAACATGCATAAATCGGCTTGCAAAAATGGGCGACAATGGCTTAACTTGCCCGACACGGGTCCGGTCCCCGTGCAGTATCTCGGTAACCGTGGGTCCGATCGGCACGAGGAACACAGTATCGTGCATGAGAATCGAACGGGCTATCGAATGGTGTGCGGTGCAGGGATGGCACGCGCCACGTGCACCCGTGAGGGCACTTATGCTTGAAAAATTGACGTTTTGGACGGATTTTGGACTTAATGCTATTTTTGGGTGACTGTCAGACGGAGCGGGTTCAAACAACGCTTGTTGGCAAGAGAAATGTACCTACCGCCTCTCATGGGAAAATTGTGAAAAGCTAATTGATCAAAAACAAGGTGGAACAAATTGCTGGAGAAAATAGCATTTGCTTATGACTTACTTAATTACAGGGGTTTTGCTACATAACCTGGTATGTTTGACAATTGAAATGGGCATAGATTGGAAGAGCATTCAATTGTGACCAAGGTCCAATCATCGCTTTTGCATGACGAGCAACAATATTCTTAAGAATATAAATGTTTCAAACCTCTACATAGTAATTCATCGATGGCTTTCACTCTTCAATAACCTACGCCAACCTATGTCATGAAATACACTTGGCATGTTCTATAGTAGAACGCATGGTTATTATCAGACACGAGCACCTCGATGCGATGGATATTTTTTCCCAAAACCAAAATGCTTAGCCGTCAAAAGGCAATCGACCGTAATGGATACATAACCCACAGACACAAGACCAACCAAACGCCCACCGATCGAAAATACCCCTTATTCGCGTTGCGAAGCAAGCGGGTCACCCTAGCGGGCCCCATTCACCCGGGGGCTCGGGCCCTATCCACATGGGGGGCCAAGCCCTATCCATACGGGGGCCCGGGCCTCGTCCACCCGGGGCTCCGGGGCCCGCCCACCAGGGGGCCCGGGCCCCATCCAGCCGGGGGCCCGGGCCCCGTCCACCCGGGGCCTGGGGTCCGTACTCCCGGGGGCCCGGACCCATCCATCGGGGGGCCCTGGCCCCATCTACCCGGGGGGCCGTGCCCCATCCACCTAAGGGGCCCGGGCCCGTTCTCCCGGGGCCCGGGCCCCATCCACCCGGGGGCCTGTGCCCTATCCACCCAGGGGCCCGTGCCCTATCCACCCAGGGGGCCCGGGCCCCATCCAACCGGGGGTCCGGCCCCGTCCACCCGGGGCTCAGGGCCGTTCTCCCGGGGGCCCGGGCCCCATCCAGCCGGGGGCCCGGGCCCCCTCCACCCAGGGGGCCCGGGCCCGTTCTCCCGGAGCCTCGGGCCCCATCCACCCGAGGGGCCTGGACCCGTTCTCGCGGGACCCGGGGGTCCGGGCCCCGTCCACCCGGGGCCCGTTCTCCCGGTGGCTCGGATCCATCCACCGGGGCCCCATCCGCCGGGGGGCCCGGGCCCTATCCACCCGGGGGCCCGGACCCATCTACAGGGGGCCCGGGTCCCATCCACCCAGGGGGCCGGGCCCGTTCTCCTGGGGGCCCGGGCCCTGTCCACCTGGGGCCCCAGGCCGACCCCTCACCCGAGGTGTCGCAGTGGGCATTTCTCGAAGCGGGCTCGTCCGATTAGATTAGGACCTCTCTCTCTCCTCTCTCTCTCTCTCTCTCTCTCTCTCTCTCTCTCTCTCTCTCTCTCTCTCTCTCTCTCTCTCTCTCTCTCTCTCTCTCTCTCTCTCTCTATCTCTCTCTCTCTCTCTCTCTCTCTCTCTCTCTCTCTCTCTCTCTCTCTCTCTCTCTCTCTCTCTCTCTCTCTCTCTCTCTCTCTCTCTCTCTCTCTCTCTCTCTCTCTCTCTCTCTCTCTCTCTCTCTCTCTCTCTCTCTCTCTCTCTCTCTCTCTCTCTCTCTCTCTCTCTCTCTCTCTCACTCTCTCGAGCGGGCCCCTGACAGAAATTTCGGGGGGGTCAGCTGACCCTCTGACCCCCCCCCCTGGCTGCGCCACTGGTCCCACATCACCTGGAAGGCCAAATTTGTGCTCGATGCGTTCTTTGGACATTTTACTTCAAATTCCACCCCTCAAATTCATTCACTTATGATCGGACTCCTAGCTAAGAAGTGATTTGTGAAGCAACTGCAAATGGGGCATTTTGCCCCAACCCCAGGGCAAAACGCCCCACGGCCTGGGACAAGAATGGGGCATCTTGTGCCCCAAATGGGAATGGGGCACAAGAGTATGGGGCATACTCTAGATTAAAGATTAAACATGCTAGTTGACTTAAATCTGTATGAGAGGTCTGTTAGACCTTGGGAAGCACGGTACTGAAGTTAGCTCCTTCCATCCTATCAGGCGTTCAGCTATGACACTATTGTATGAGCAGGTTTTTCACCTGCCTCATAAGGCCAAATAATAAATTATTGCAATGAAAATGTTAACAAAATACTTCCTTTGCCATCCAGTTGCTGAGAAAAGTACATATAAATGCATAGCAACTTACTGTTAGTCAGCTACCGAACATTAGGAAGTGGGTAGTCCGAACAACACATGAGGTAAAACGCCCCATGGGGCGTTGGTAAAACGCCCCATGGGGCGTTTTGCCCCGCGACCTACTGGGGCGTTTTACCCCATCACGTAGTTCGGTCAGAGAACAACGCCTTGCACTCCAGCAAGGCATAATTTAACACGAACCAACCCGGCATTATAAGCGTTAGATAAAGTTGTTCAAAATACATAAAAGCCGTTAACCTGATGTGGACCATAAAAGAACGCCATGATGCATAAGCTGACAACAAAACATAAAAATCACTCCAAAAACACATTTTTGGCTGTATATCTCCCTAAAGAGTCATCACAATTTCTTTCCAGTCTGCTCATATAATGATCATAAGTGCACGTTTTATAGAAGAGATGATGTTTCTCCAGAACCTTGCCAGTTCCGAGAAACATCGGTGAGGCGTTTTACCTCGGCGGGGCGACTTGCCCCGGTCTACCCGGGCTACTGGCTACAGTTCAGCTGTAGAAAACGCAAATTCAAACGCTATCAAATGCAAATTGGTTTTCACGCAAATCAGTAGGTAGGTATACATCATACGAGTTTATTGGCGGTACTTACCAAGAATCGTTTTGCTGAGTCTGATAAGCATTTGTCAGCACTGGTTTCACTGTCAATGCCTCAATGGTACCTACCAAATGTCATAACTAGAATAGCACGCCCTTTATGAGATTCGGCGCCAGGTGTCGGAAAAAGTTGGGTGCCAAGGTTTAAGTGCCCGTCAAAATCGGAATCCACTTCAAAAGTGCCCGTCAAAAAAAGTGCCCGTTAAAGTACCCGTCAAAGTCGGAGTTCCACTTATAATAGGGTCTGTTCCAGTCGCACTTCCTAACACCTCTAAACTCCTCCAAGGGCAAGATAAAGGAGGCTGGAACAGGGTCCTCCTTGGCTTTGTAGAGAAGAGCCAGTGGCGGATCCAGGGGGGGGGGGCAAAATGGGCATTTGCCCCTCCCAAACGGCATAATTTTAACATTACGCCTATGGACGAGGCATGGAAAGAATCGATAAATTGTTATGGTTTGCCCCCCCCCCCCAAAAGAAATGTGAGCTGGATCCGTCTCTGAGTAGAGCTGCCACTGGATCAGGGAAGCAATCTTGGAGGAGTTAAGATGTGTTAGGAAGTGCGACTGGAACAGGCCCATATGTTGTACCGGCTGCTTCCACTGCACCCGTAGACCACCCGGCTCGTCAGATGGAAATGGACATGTATGATGTATGTATACAGCCCTTCCTAATTATGTACGAGTAATATCGAGTCCAAGTGCCGCAGAGGCAGAGGCTCGGTTCTGATGTCTCACGCCTCACGGTCACGACCGGTGATGAGTCCGATGCTCGACCGGGTGAGCTACTAAGAAGGTACATGCCTATTACCTACCTTCTAAAATCTAAAGAGGCAGACACGGTCGGTAAGTACAAGTGCAATGTGGTCTATGATTTAAGCTCATTTTATTACCAGTTTTAGGGCACCGGATCGACTGGGCCTGGCTAATGACTTTATTGAGCATGCAGTGGTGATTGACGACTTACGTTTCCAAGCGAAACAGTTGTTTATTACTTTACCTGGAACAAATGTTAAAGCGACCGAAGTCAAAATATTTTGCATAAAAAATATACAAATTATATTCAAAATCTATAAAATAGGTTAATTCAGAAATTATAATAAGTCACTTTAGCACTCAAACTCATGGCGTTCGCCATCCGCCCGTAAAGCTAACGGACCTCAAAACGGCAGCTCTAGAGCTGCTAGTTTCATTTTGTTCTCAATTGTTTCTCAAACCCACACCGAGAGAGTAAATTGTCATCAATCCTATTTTCTGAATTTCATAAAAAACGATAGGAGCTAGGTCTTTGCTCGGTTTGCGCGTAACTCTCTCTTTTGCTTTGTCTGATTCATTTTCGGTGCAAGTAGAGCCATCTAGTGGTTCCTTCTACGACTAACAGCACCAATCAGCGTTCAGTGCAAGACCACAGAAAGCTGCTCTCTGATTGGTGGTTCGCTCTATTTACATTCTGATCATTTTATTCTTTTGAGTTCTTTGTTTTGTTTCTCATGATATATGCTTTTAATTTATTATTTCTTACTGAAAATTTGTATCTTAAAGGTACTTCATGAATAGAATGATTTTATTTAAACTTAAAACCTCCAGGCTACCCACCAATCAGAAGGTCCCTTTCATGCGAACAGTCCAGAATCGCCATATTGATATCGTGCGCTAGACATCTTTGAGAATCTGACAGATTTTCTCTGTGGAAGTATATTTGGACCAAAAGGGCCCAAAATATAGTGCGAAATGGCGACGATAAATCAGTGCTAGTGAAGTTTTGTGCTTGGACGTCGTGGAAGCTGTAGAATCGGTGGTTTTCCCAAGGCGCTTCCAGGTCACGTGACCTGCGGTCGAAAAGGCGCTTTTTGGGCGAGAAATCAACACCGTTCAAAATCTTGTTCTTTTTGTGGATCAGCTGATTCATTACGGGGTCGTTGCCGGTATGCATGAATCGGTAACCCGCACTGTCATGACCTGACCATGCGGGGGAGGGGAAGAGGACGAGGGAGGGGTCGGCCCGCGAGGCCGCAATTTCACACGAGAAGCGAATTGATAAACAAAAACATCTTCATCAAGAAGCCGACGTACCTTCGCGAAAAGGAGGATGGCAGTCGTGCCAGCACTCCCGGGGGTGCCGGGCAGGGAGAGAGCGAGGATAATGTTGCGTCAAGATCGCGGTCGAGTTCGGTGACCCGTTCTAGTCTGGGAACGAGCACACCCAGGAAGATAAAGCTCAAGAAACCAAAGGCTGGGGCCTCAACCTCTGCTGACACAACACAGGACTATTATTATGGTTCAGACTTTGAGAACCTCTCTGACCTCGAGGAGGTGGATGGTGAGGACAATGGCTCTGAGGACTCTGACAGTGATCGATCAGTGTACGATGCAGACGAACTGGTCAGTGAAAGTGAACTGTCGCTGCCAAGCTCGGCTGGGGCAGGGCAGGACTATGTGCCAGTGTCGCGGCCTCCAACCCCAGTTCCAGTGTGGCTGCAGGACAGGGAGATACCTGAGCTGGTTCTACCACCCTCTTCGGAAGACCTTCTCATCCCTCGAGAGCACATTCTTCAGACGTGTGCAGTGTACGAGGTGCTTAGACACTTCAGGACTCAGATTTATCTTTCTCCATTTACTCTGGAGGATTTTGGTGCTGCTCTTTTGGCTGAGCAGCAGAGTAAACTGCTCTCAGAGGTCCACTTCCAAATGCTTCGTCTGATCTTGCGGGAAAACGAGAAGGAGCAGGTTCACTTTGGACCCCAGGATCACAAGGACAGCATCAACTCTGTCCTGTATCTTTGTGACATTGTGACTTGGCCTGAAACACTTAGAATATACCTCCACACATGGGAGGGAAGTGGTGAAAATGTGAAGGAAGTCCTCCACATCCTGGACAGCAACGAGTACCCGTTTGTCCCATTTGACGATAGGCTGAAGGTGCTGCAGCTCCTCGTAGACATGGTGCTGGTCACTCCAGTCATTAGGAATGAGTTCCAGAGGTGAGACTCTAGGCACACAATAAAGGGTATTGGCATGCATGTTGATTGGTCTTCTTCAATTCATTGCCAATGTTTGTTAACCATTTTAATTGTTTGTTGGCTGCTGTTAATTTCCTATTGAACATTTAGCTCAAGTTTACAGTTGAACTTTGAAAGATAACATTTGGGTGGCATTTTTACTGCACCCATTCTGAGAGTTCTGAAGCGATATCTAGAATAGAAATCTTCATAAGTAAATCAATTATTACCAGTCTGCCAGAGACTCATTTTGCAAGCATTCACATGTTATGCCTCAGTCAGCAACTGACGTTTCCCAATTGTCTCGCCAGGGAGGGTCCGATCGTGTACGACGACCACTGCCGCTCATGCCACAAGCTGGGCGACCTGCTGTGCTGCGAGACATGTCCCGCCACCTACCACCTGGAGTGTGTCAACCCGCCACTGAAGGAGGTCCCTGACCACGACTGGCAGTGCGAGATCTGCCGCAAGCACCAGGTGACCACTGCGGAGGGATTGGGGAGGACTAAGGAAGTGCTGCTAGCTCGGCGATATGTTACTCTTCTGCATTTTTAATCAGCGTGCTCTCGGTTTTCCCCATATAAGGAAGTTGTTGCTGGCGCTTCTTGGCCTCTCATTGGTCTAATGAATAGACCACTTGAATTCGATCAATGAGGAGCCAAGAAGTAGCAGCATGCTCGCAGCCTGCTGATAAATAAACGGGGGGCGAACAGAGCTCTGATGTTTCACCTCCCATGCTCCCCCTGTCACCCACTGACCTGCGTCGGGTCACTCTGACACTGCCCTGCCCCGCGCCAGGTGAAGGGGGTCACCGACTGTGTATCTGACATGGAGAAGAACGGCGCCATGTCGCGACAGGAGGTGCTCGGCTACGACCGGCGCGGACGCCGCTACTGGTTCCTCTGCCGGCGCATCTTCGTGTGAGCGCGCGGAGACGGGCCCGGGGCGGCGGCTGGGGTCCGGCGGAGGCTTCTGTTGGTTCTTTTGTCGATGTACATTCGTGTGTGAGTGCGCGTCACTCTGAGTCGCCGCCGGTGCCTGGCGTTGGGCTAGCTGTATGGCACGATATGGGAATAAGTGGTTTAAGATCAACGGTCCCGTAATCGTCCCGTACTCGGCGTCTTACCCAAAAAAGCAGATTAGTCATAGTGTTACATTTCTGTCCATCCTCTAACGCCTCCGTCCGTCCCTCCGTGCGCAGTGAGGACCCCGACCACCCCGAGTCTGTGGTGTACTACACTACGTCGGCGCAGTACGCGGCGCTGCTCGCCCGTCTGGACCGGACCGACTACGAGGACGCACTCTGCATGTCGCTGCAGGAGCTGCACTACGACATCCAGCGGCAGATGGCGCTCACGGAGGAGATGACCGAGCAGAGACTGAAGCCGGGCGCCGTCAGCTACCTGCAGCAGGAGAACGGTGAGGGGGAGATGGGGATGGATAATATGGATTGGAAGTGGTGAGAGAGAGGCAGAGATAGCTGTGGAACGATAAATTGCGGACGTCGATGGTGAACGACGATGGCCGACAAAAGACATCGCACAGCTGCGGAGGAGGTGGAGAAGAGGTGACAGATACAGGCACCTGATATTCTCTACTTGACAAGCAGTGATTAAGGCATTTTCTGGACGTTTTTAACGACCAGCTTTTCGGCTAGGCTAAATAAGTTTCGTTTTTCCGGTTTTGTTGCGAACCCTGTCAGATATATTGGTATAAAACGCGCGTTAAACCCAACTTTCCTATTGATAATTGAAGCCACCTGTCACGTATCGGATGATGTGGGCCGGGGTGTTTGTGCCGACTCGCCACAGTCGCCGTTTGACCGGCTGCCACGACAGAGCGGGGGCGGGGAGGGGAGGGGGTCACCGCCTCACACCCGTCACCACGGGAGGAGAGGTCGGGGAGGGGGGAGGGGGGAGGGGGCAGCGTCGACAGGCGAAGTGTCAAACAGTGGCGTTTACAGAAATTGGCGGGGCTAAGAGCTACTGCCGTCCCCCACTCTCCCGCCCCCACTCTTCCTCTGGTTCTCCTCTTTTCTCGTATCTCTTCCCATCAGCAGAGGCTCATAACCAGTTTACGACATCGAGCCGGGTTGCCGAGTCGCCTGAGTCTGACATCCATTCCTCCGCGGATTGGCGTGCTAGGTTACCCGACGGCCCTACGTGACAGCCGAAACAGATCGCATGTGCCGAACGATCACCGTCTACAATATCGGTCGGAAATGGAACCGTGAATATTAAATATCTGCGTTCCCTTTCGTCTGACTTTTTTCCGTATAATATAATACAGCTATCTCGCCTATCTGCTTCGCTCTGGTGAAATCCGACGATTCGTTCCACAACAGTAGATGCTGACTTGCGCAGAACTCAGTGCGACTCATCAGTTGCATGGCTGATAACTAGAGCCTGACACAGACTTCCGCTGCGTTCGATGTACCCCTCCCCCCTGTCCCCCGTCTCCCCCTCGTCCCCCTCCCCATCCGGCGGTGTGGTGTTATCAGAACGTTCCATGCACCAGTCGATAGCAGAGGCGGAGCTACGGTCAGACAGACGGGGAGCAAACAGCGTACGCCGTGCAGAGAAAATGGCGAAGGCTTTGCTACTGGTCCATTTTGGCAATCGTTTTGTGTTTCCGTCGAACGTTGCAATTTATCAATGATGAATGCCCGGTACGTCCTCTTCATATTCTCTCCAGTCACCTTATCTCATGTGGATTTAACTTCCTGTCCTCCCCACATCTTCCTACCGCCCATGTCCATCCGCCTTTGTCCGCCCATGTGCCGAGTTCCGTCTGATTGCTCCGTCCGGATTGAATCAGTGCAATATGTCTGGCACAGTCCGGGCCTCCGCAGTACTGTGTGTGCATTACAGTGCAGTGATGGGTGTGGACACGAGAGGGAGCTATTGCGGTAGGGGACTGCGGTTGTGATATTTGGCTTACCGATATGGAAATTTTGTAGTTTGGTGGTAACCAGTGCACAAGGGAGCCATCCTCTAAATAAGGGACTTGCGGCATGATGTGATCGGCGACGTGATATTCTTGTGACGGAAAGCTATCACCGTGTCAAACTGTGAAATAGGGCGTACCATCATATTCGTGTGCTTTCGTTGGAAAGTTATCTCCGTGTAGAACTTCGAAGTTCGAAGCCTGTATATTGTACTGAATGCATGCAACAGATCTAACCAGCGTTCTCGTGTTGTTTCAGACCGTTTGAAGGCAGCTCGTGAGGCCGAGGAAGTGAAGAAGGAAGAGGAGGAGGGTGGAGAAGGTAACGGAGAACAGAAACCGGTCGTCGCCGCGGACGGCGAGCTGAAAGGTGAGACTGGTGGGAATTCGTGACCGACGGGGAGCCTGAAAGGTGGTGTCGGGGCTTCGTCATTAGCCGACGGAAAAAATAGAATGGTGGCGTCGGTACCTTAGTGGGTCTTGTGTCGTGTGTTTGCTGTTGTCTGAGTGTTGTTACTAAATGAGTTTTTTTTACAACTGCCCGAAATTTTAGTTACCTTCTACATAATGGATTATTCTCCCATCCCAGTATTACCAGACATCTACGCTACTGCAACCGCGATAGTCCCTCTTATTAGCAGTATACGCTCGAGGTCGTTTTTTACGCCTCCCTTTTTACCCCGACTGCCAGGTGGGCCGTCCAGTCAGTGACCTTGCCACTGATGACCTTGATCTCCCCTGCTCAGCCCGTGCTGACTGTAACTCTCGGTTTAGGGTCGTTCGGATGGCGTGGGGAACTGCGGTGATGACGGTGATAAAATACAGGGCTGATACGGACTTTCAAGGTGGCCGGGTGATTTCTAGCAGGAAAACGGAACGGGTGGGGTTGGGGGGGGGGGGAGGGCTGAAGATGGATGGCTTTCATTTCAGAGAGATTTGGTCGATGAGGGCCACGGGTACAGTCTGCAGACTAGGTGGTAGCTAGGTTCGAGTCAAACCCATCGTTTTATGAAACCTCACGAAAATTTCTGAATTATGAAGTGCCTTACTAACTACGCATGAAATCGGTTATCCATCACTCGCGGGCACTGGTGACAACTGAACATGGCGTCCCTTTCTTTCTTTACACTCCCTCCCCTTGTGTTCCCCTCAGCGGAGGCCGGCTCGGCGGCCGGCGGCGGCGGCGGTGACGCGCCCTCGGAGACGGACGGCGCGGACAGGAACGGAGAGATGGACGACAGCAAGCCGGCCATCCCCGCACGCTCCGTCATGGTCACCAGGTGAGAGACGAATAGGGAAGGCTTGGGTAGAATGATGCGCGGTGGTGGTGTGTGTGTGAGATGCGGTGGTAGATTCCCCGAGAGGCATTTCATCTTATTTCAAGTTTTATGACTCGACAGTTGTCAATATTTTTACGCTTTCATTGGATGTACCCTTTCTTCCTGATAGCCTGTGTTCTCTTCCCTTTGTTTGTTTTCCTACGTCAACATTTTAATTTACGCTTTGATTGGATGTGCCCTTTCTTACTGGTAGTCTGTGCCCTCTTCCCGTTTGTTTTCCTACGGTCACAATTGTCCGCTCCGTTTTCCGTCAGGACCAAGTCCGGTGCGCTGCCGTCCAAGACGGTCAAAGAAGAGGGAGAGGACGAGGAGGAGGAGGAACCCGTCAAACCGAGTAAGGGCCAAATGATGGTTGCTAACCTGTGTTACAAATATGCATATAACATTTTTGTATAACGTTATTTTACATAATTGCTGTTCCATCAAATCAACGCCTGGCATTGATGGAAAGGCTGTAATCACTGTAATCAGTGATTACAGCCCCCTGTGACATTGTATGCTGGTTGTAGAAGGAAGAAGCTACCCAAGCTAGATGTGCGGACGCGAAATGCTCCTGCCGTCAACGCGCCGTTCAACCAAACCTAGCTTAGTGACCAAACAAACTCAGGCTAAAAGAGACCACCCCAGCAGTCTGCCCCTCTGACCACACTGACAAACCCCCCTCTCCTGTCCCGCAGGCAGTCCGTTCCGCCTGGGTGACGCCACGGACCGGTCGTACCAGCGCTACGAGAACCAGTACTCTTCCAATCCGCTGGCACTCAACCGATTCCAGATGTCTGAGGATAAGGACAAGCGGCGACACATGAGCCACAAGTTCTCACTCACGCAGGCCTCAGAGTTCGAGTGGGCAGGCGTCATGTTCGGTGAGTGGCCAGGGGACTTAAGAGTAAGACGATTGCGTCTCTGACAGTGACAGATCTATTTCCCTCTCTGCATAGTCAGTTACTCACAGGCAGACATAAGGAATAAATTGATCTTAAATAAACCTCGACATGCTCAGATGCTGCTCACATGCTGTTCATCTCTCGCTCTATTCCCCATGAGTCCGTTCTGCAGGCAGCATCTGTTTCAATGGCAAACTTCTGTAATTCTGTCTCTAAGTCCCCCTCCCGCCCTGTGTCTCTCTCACGTCCAGCTGTAGCCGGCAGCAGCGGCTACATCAAACACAAACTGTTATGTCTCTGACCCTCCCCCTCCGTCCGTCCCCGCAGGCAACCGTCACCAGCTGCGTCAGACGCTCCGTCAGACCCTGCAGGAGCTGGTGTCCCGGCTGCCGGTGGCGCTGATGCACCCGTCGTGGCCCCAGCTGCGACGCGCCTGGACGGGTGCGGTCACCGGCTCGTCCCGGCCGCAGGACTTTGCGCGGGCGCTGACGGTCATCAGCGCGCTCATCAAACCGCGGCTGCTCTGTACCGTCTGGGCCGAGTCACTCGGTAAGTCAGCGGGAGGAGCTGGGAAGAGAGGATGCTGTGACATCACTCTGTGGTTGGCTGAAATTTTCTGTGTCGTTGTAGTTTTTCTCACATGTTCGCTTTCATGCAACTTTCGTCGCGCAAAACATTCGTTTAGTTTATTGTTGAGACCATCCACACCGTGGCTATTCTAGTCTCCCGTCATACATGTTCTAAAATCAAAGTGACACTAAAATATCGATACGTTCTACATGCACACAATGCCACACTACACACAAAACAGCTACACACACAAAACATAGCTATATAACTTCTGATAGTCATATATTTTACGAATTCATTCCATAAAAAGCATTGGGCTTTCACGAAGCTCTGGTACGCTAATTTCAAGGGTTCACATATTTCGTTAACCAGCGTCATATTTCTTCTTTCCCCCCAGCGCACGTATCGGTGCAGCGTATCACGCCGCTGGACAGAGAGGAGCGGAAAAAGGCAGAGAAGCGCGAGAAGCGGGAGCGGGACCAGGAGGAACTGGATCAGCTGCGAATACCGTTCGTCAAGTACAACCTGAAGAAAGTCAAACATCAGGTGAGTGTGATGATGAGGTGGGGCTGTTTGAACGTTAGGACATGCAGATGTCATGAATCATGGTGATGTGGACTTGCTTTTGTAGCGGTAGGGGAGTGCCGCTAATTACGTTTCTTTGTGACCGGATTTTTATTCTATTGGCTGACGTTTTATTTTACGAGGGTGCGTTCAGTGCCACCTGATTCTCCTCTACCACTTCTTAACTCGTTTTGTGGCCTGCGATCTAAATCTCGATTTTTGTATTTTGCGAGGCTGTAGTTACCTGACAAACTGAGTGTGTTTCCTTTCCGCGTGACTGCGATGCCCCGACCGTTACCTTCTTTTCCGTTTTAACCCCCGCCACCCTCCGCGTCTCCGTCAGGTATGGAAGCAGCGCGGCGAGGAGTACCGTGTCCACGGCCAGACCGGCTGGCTGTGGCTGAGCAGCACGCGCCGCTACCGGCCGGTGCCGGCCGCCGCGCGAGGCCACGCCGCCGGGCCGCAGCGGATGTTCGTCACAGTGGCCCCCGCCGAGGGTGAGAAGGAAGGCGACGCCCCCGCCGGTACTGATAGTTCAACCAAGGCCGGGCTGCGTGATCTGTGGCTGCCGATGTCCGCGTACCGGCGTCTTCTCGAGCAGCAGGCGGCGGCCGGCGGGTCGTCCGACCGTCTCCTCACCGTGCGCCTCAAACCGGGCACCAAGGAGCTGCAGACGGACCCGGACGCGCCGGCCGAGGAGGCGGCGGTGGTCGCCCCGCCGCCGCCGCCGCAGCCTGACGATGTGGTGGACGTGTCGGGCTGTTTGAATGGGTTGAGAAGGCCGCACTTCCCGCGAGGAGCCCGGCCCGGCCGGCTGGATAAGCTACTCGCGTGGAGAGAGGAGTTGGAGCGGCGGGAGAGAGGGGAGGAGTCGGACACGGACGATGCCATGGACGAGGACGGCGGTGAGACGCGCGTGGCGGAGGCCCAGCGCGAGCTGGCGGAGGCCGAGCGGCGGCTGGCGGTGCTGATGGCCCACCCGTGCTACAGCGCGGCCTGCCGCGGCGGCGGCGGAGCGACCTGCTACAGCGTCTCCTGCCGACAGGCGGTAAGTGGGGCTTAGCGGGACAGTCGTAACTGCTACACTAGGCTAGGGAAGGGATCGCTTTGACAGAAGGTTACTTATTAAATTCAGCCGTAATTCATTTTCGATTTGGATAAGTCGCAAAAAAAAAATGGCGGTCATTGCGCCAGGGTCTGCTTTCAGAGGTGGAAACTGATAAACAAAATCCATTAATAAACTTCCATGTTTGAACTTGTTGCGACAAGTCTCGTAAGAAATGGACGCTTTGCCTATCTGTTACGATCGTATTGTGTGTTTCACTTCAATGTGTTAACCGGCGTTCCACCTCCCGCAGGAGACCGTCCGTCGTCGTATAGAGCAGCTCCGTGCAGACGCTGTGAAAACGGAGCCGGGCACCGAACCGACCACCAACCGGCCGAAGGAGAGTGGCACCAAAAAGGAGCCCCCTTCCGACACTAAAACCGACACGGGGTCTGACATTAAACCGACCATCAAGACCGAGCCGATGGAGGTGGATGGAGCGGCGGTGAAGACGGAGCCGGGCGCCCCGCCGCGGCCGGCGCGGTTCGCCGGAGTCCCCACCTCCGCCCCGGTCCGCTTGGAGGTGATTAAACCGGTGGTCAAGAAAAACTACGTGCGCTACCCGCTGTACAGCAAGTTCCGCGCCGGCGGCCGCTGGAGCATGTTAGTGCTGCCGCAGTGGGAGCTCAAACAGCTGGCCAGGAGGAAGGGACAGAAGGTGGTGGAAGGGTTCAACTACTCGGCAAAGGTGAGCGGCAGCGAAATTAGGGGCGTATTCAGTGGAGCGTGAGTGGATGGGGTCAGAGGGATCTGGTACGTGTAAATGGTTGATGGTCGACTTCAGTTCTCATGGCTGTATCCATGGATTTCACGGTATATTTTCACAACAGTTTTTTTTTTTCGATAGGATGGCAAAACATTCCCTAGGCCAGTCTTGACTGCGCGGCACACATTGCATCAGAACAGCCAGGTTATTGCATTATCCCACTCTGACTTATTTGCATTGACCTGACCGCCCCCACCATAGAACAGCGAGGTATGGCCGTGACCTGACCTGACCTGACCTCGCCTCGCCCCCCGTCCACAGAACAACAGCCAGGTGTGGCCGTACCCGTGTCCGCGCGCCTCGCTGCGTACCGGTTGGCTGTACCGCACCGCTCGGGTGTCGAGTCTGCACGCGGCCGGACTCCAGCTGAGGATACTCTGGGCCTGCATACGGTGGGACGATATCGATGTGAGTTTACAGTTGGACAAGACGGGACAAGAACGGAAGATTATGATGAGGAAGATTGCCAAAGATTGTTGGGAGGGTCCCTGAGAGTCAGCTATAATTATACCAATACTCTGATTTTTTAACGCTATTTGCGGAGAGCTGAGGGTACCATATCATGATACCTTGCCCCCTCTGTCTTTCTGTCTTAACCGTCATTTCCCGGTCTCAATGATTTGCTCATAATGTACCAGTAGAGTTCTAACATTCCCTCTCCCCCCGTGTCCGCCAGTCTCGTCCGCAGCAGGTCGGCCCGGGCGAATTTCAGATCACCACCGATACGGGCATGGTGCGCTCGCTGGTGCTCAAACACCGCGACGAGGGCCGCTTCAAGGAGAGGACCATGTACTTCCGCCGGCGGGTCACCATCCTCTTCGACAACCCCGTCCTCGTGGAGAAAGGTGGGACAGTCGTCAGCCGGCTGCGCTTAGGGATAATGGGGGGTCGTGTCAGTCGTGTGAGGACAGGGGTTGCGCTAGATTCGGTGGGCATTGGTTGGTCATTAACTGGTGGGGTTAAATTGTTAGTTGCTGTTTGCTGTTGTATCTGTTGCAGAATAATTTGATTGGATGCGTCATTTTTATGGAAGTCCCTTATTGGTACCGTCATCTTTGTCTAGGTTTGTCTGACCGACAATTCAGACTCGAGGATGCAAGCCGTTCCCTCTTTCTTCAACCTAAGTCTCTCCTCCGCTCTCCCTCACCCTAACCTCCCTCCCCCACCCTTCCCGTACAGAGTACACGTCGTCGGCCCGCAGCGGTTTACGGAAGCGGCGCCGTGTGATCGAGTCCTCGGAGAACCCCTCCAGTGCCGTCACCCAGGAGTGGGTGCCCGAGGAGGCATTAGAGATCTTCGAGATCAAGTACTACCACGAAAAGTGAGTGGCGTGAGGGTGGCGAGGATGGATGCGGTTCGGGTAGTTTACTTTGTGTCTGACTTGGACTGTTGTGCGCGGAGGAAAGAGCTGGACGCGTGTAGTTGTTTTACGGCGGGTTGCCGATCTGATTATGTACGTACGTTTTGGCACTTTTTGCTGTTCAAGCTGACTTAAACCCTCGCCCTTCTGTATTATTTTTCTAGACATTCTTAGGATCTTTTGATGCTCTAGCGCTCTTCTCCAGCCGTTCATTTTAGCATGCGTCAAACTAAGACCGAATGCATTGCCTAACGGGACTTAATCAAATAAACGTTTTTTTTGCGCAGTGTCTCATCCCTTTTCTCCCACCCTCCTGCTCCATCAGACTGGAACGGCTGCGCCAGGAGCGTCAGCAGGCGGCCCTGCAGCGGCGCACAGCTGGTCTGGCGACGCCGCGCGCCGGCTCACCGGCCGCCGGCGGACCGGGCAGCCCGGCGACCGCCTCCTCCTCTACAGGGCTGGCCGGCACACCGACCACGACTGTAGTGGTGGCCGGCGGCCGGCGGGCCGTCACCTCGGCCGTCCAGCTCAAGAGCAAGCTGGAGGAGGCCGTCAGACAGAGCAGGACCATCACCAAAGGTGCGGCGATGACTGGTTTTGTTGAGTGGAGAGAAATGTTATTGATGAAGAAATTAGAGTGGTCGGAGCTGATAACATGCTATATTTTCACGTTTAGCCGTCTCCATACCATCATGACTGAGGTTTTGAGGTTTGAGGTTCTTAGATGTCTTTACCGTACTTCGCAGGCGGCTAGAGCCCGCTCAACTTCAAAACACCGAACGCCTGTGACCATTAATGCCCCACTTACGTTGCTATTCATCTCTCAGGCACCAAGTTCATGGTGAAGCCGTCCGGTGCTGCCACCCCGGGTCAGGCGGCCGGGACGCCACAGCGGACCTACGGAGCCATGCGCAAAATCATCACCAAAGACGGCAAAATTATCGGTGAGACCCCGGGCGATGTGGTGACGAGGGGGTATGAGAAGGGAGGAGACTGCAGAAAATGTATGAGTGCTAATGGGACGCCAGGGTGGGAAACAAAGCTGTACTAATCTTTTAGGTAGCTCTGTATGTTCTTATGTGATCGTTCTGAAGCGTCTCGGGAGATAATTTTGTGCCAAGCTTGGATGACACGGCTTACAGTCACTGAATGTTTTGCGTCCAGTTTCAACTCTTACCTGTGTAATTACAGCGCACTAGCTTTACCTGACTAGCATTTCTCACCCTATTACCCGTATTCTGACCCCTCCCCTCCCCCCCCTTTACAGCGATCCAGTCGGCCCCGCCGGGCTCCGCGGCCGGCACGGTGACGGTGAGCGGCATCCCGCAGCGTACGGCGCCTCCCACCCTGGCTCCGGCGCCCTCCCCAGGAGCCACGGTCACCGTCTCCGCCGGCGCACCCGCGGTGACAGCGGCGGCAGCGGCCGGTGGCGCCGGCGCCAAACCGAACCAGATCCAGATCATCAAACTGCCAGACGGAAAACTGCAGGTCAAGGGACTCAAACCCGGTGAGTTAGTGGGGTCAAGCAGAGGAGTAAACATTTTTTTTGTAGAATTGCTGTGGCTTGAGGCAGCCTCAGCTCAAAATAATTCAGAATGATGCTGACCAAAATGTCGCGATATTTTGCTCATTGACGTCACTATGACGCCCTGAAAGCTTCGATCTTGTATTCGCCGTGGCGTACGATTCTGCCTAGCTCGACCAAATCGTATCATCAAACAGCCGCGGCGGTCCAGCGACTAGCCCCTCTGACCTTGTCCGCCTCTGTGTGTGTTCTAGGTCAGCAGCTGGTGCAGCTGCCCAGCGGCCAGCTGCAGCTGGTATCGGGCGGAACAGCCAAGTCCCTGCAGGCGGTCGGCAAGCCCGGCTCGCCAGGTAGGTCCCCGGGTGGACTTCACAGTCTCTTTTTGCTGGGTGTGTGTCGTTTTGTATCTCGTAGCGTCGCTTCCTCAATGTGCGGATTCGTTCAACGCTTGGTTTGTTACAACGCTGAGTTCGGACGTTCGCGACTACGAGCAAGTAGCGAGCGTCCATAATTTTACCCTCGCGCTTGAGTATGCACCGAGTTAGTCGTATCGCTCATGCTCTGTGCCGGACACTTTGCATTATCATATTCTGACGCAGTGTACATTTTCCGTTCCACAGCGGTGATGTCGACACCGACGGCGTCCAAGGTGCGTCTGGTGGCCCCCGGCGCTCCGGCTGTCGTCAGCCCCGGACAGGTGAGGAACCCCGATACCCCAAACACCACTCACACCTCCCCAGTCGTGCTCGCACCCCGTCGTATGTACTTTTCTAAGCAACTCTAATGATTTTTTTTTTATTCTTTAGCAATATATTCACTATAAATATAAAAAAGTAATTAGTTATTCAAATAGCCTAGATGAATTTAGATGCTACGAGTGGACCGCTCGATGCTTTCAATCACTTTCCAGCTCCCTCTGACTCACCACCCCTTCCCTCTCCCTCCCCAGGAGTCGACCCCAACCTCAGGCACAGCCCCAGCGGCCGGCACGGTGGTGGGCTCGCCGTCAGGCGCGGTGACCTCTCCGGCGGCCGGACAGCGCGTGGTCCAGAAGATGGTCACACAGGTGGTGGACCTGGCCGGACTCACCAAGCCGCAGCTGGTGGGCTGGCAGCAGAAAATCAACGAGGGAAAGGCCAAACTGGCGCTCGTCAACGGCAGGAGGGTAAGAGCGGGGAGGAGACTAGGGAGGGATGGTGGAAGAGTTAAAGGCAAGAGTGATACGCAGGGACGTGACTGGTTAGTAAATTGGAAGCTCAGGACACTGATGAGATGGAAAGTTTGCGAAATCCGATGTCTGGAGGTGTTGTGATATGTGGGTATAACTAAAGCGACGTGTTTTATAAAGACAAAAGCTAATATTAATGTTTTTTTTTCTTATGCCACTCGTTGCCTCACTTCCATGTTCCGTGTATTTCTGTTTGACCCGCTCTGTGTTATCACGTTCTGCATGCCTAAGCTGACCACCATCTCCCTCCCTCCTCAGGTGATCCTCCACAACGTCATCGTGAACCAGTCTGTGTCCGCCGACTCGGCGGGTGAGCCCACCGCCCCCGGTGCCGGAGCGGCCGACGGCGCCGCTGCTGGAGCGGAGGGTGACGCAGACGACCAGGCGGCCGTGTCAGAGGCGCAGGGCGGCACAGAGACGGTCACGGGAACAGAGGGAGCAGAGGCGGCCGATGGAGCCGCCGAACAGGATGCGGAGGCGAAGCCGACGGTACGTGGAGTGAGGCGGAGGGTGTCAGTGATTGTGAGTGTGATGGATTTGGAAAGAAGCGTATGTCGTGTGTTGATAAAGTATTCCGTGTGAGGAGGAACTTATCTCGCAATATTCAATTGGATTCGATGTGTTTAACATCGTGAATTATCAGTTTTGTGAACGAGGGACCGTTTTTTGCTCTTCTTTCATGTCCTCATTTTGCAGTAAGCTCGCCTAGAGGGCATATATTGCATGACGTCTCTCATGATTCCTATGTGACCCACGACTATAAGTATTCCCATCACCACGTCCCTGACGCTCCCCTGCCTCTCGTGTTTTCAGCTGGCTCCCGGCCGCCGTATCACCGCCACTGCCAACATTGTACAGACGGTGGCCGGACCGCGGGTGGTGATCCAGGGCGTGCCCACCCAGGGCCTGTCCCAGTCTCAGCTGCACAACTTACAGCAGCAGGTCAAGGCCGAACTCGCTAAAGGTTAGTAATGTGGCAGAGGCGACGCGGGATAAGGAGAGTGTGAGGGGCAGGGGGTGGAGTGGATTGACTCGTCATGCTTGCTCTGAAAAGTTGTCTAGTGCATAAATTGTATTCACTATGTGGTTGTATGAGCCCAAAATGACCTTGTATAATGTATAGTCTGTTCCATATCAAGCTTGCAGTCGGAGTTTCTTCGGCAGATCTCTCCTCCGCTCAAGAATTTGCGTCTCAAAATGTAAGCTGTATATACAGAAATCACGCACTGCTTTCAGCAGGGCACTTCGGCTGCAAGCTTGAAACGAAACAGAGTATAGTCGTCGCGCCCCCAACAAACAAACAAACAAGCAAACAAACAAACAAACAAACAAACACTAAGTTGTTGTGGCAGCTCGATTATAAAAGGTTATAATATATATTACTGACCGGGCCGACGAAATTATTTGGAAACGAGGTTTGCAAAATTGACGTAGGTCCGAGTGCGAAGCACGAGGGCCGGAGTCAAATTTTGCAAACCGAGTTTCCAAATAATTTCGTACGGCTGAGGTCAGTAAGATTTTTCCTACATGCCGCATACCTGCTAAGTAGTTTCGACAGGTTTTGGTGACACTTTTATACAATTGTTTTGTCCATAATTTCCTAACAGTGATTGCGCTACTGCTGTGGATAAAGCTTTAAAGGAAATTTATAGGTAGAAGAAAATGCATCAAAACACCTTACTTCAAAAAGAATCGCGTCTGAAAATATCAACTCAGAATGACACAACTGGATATCCAAGAAACATAATGCATGAATAATTTGCCACGACATAAGAACAAGAAGAAGGTAAAATATTCCTAGTGAATAAACGTGAATTTTCCAGTGCTCTTGCAAGAATCTTTTCTTTATTTATGTAATCGTACTTTGTTGATGCCCTATAGCTAAACTTTCGTGAAATGCATTATATTTTCCATATTTTACATGTTTGTTTCGAGGAAAGGACTACAACTGTCAAATGATAACGCATTAAATTAGGCCCAATGTACCAGTGGACATATCAAACGAAGATAAGACAACAAGCGATAACGGATTTCGATTAATAGGCGCATATTTTACCATAATTTCGGCTTTGTAACCAATACAAAATATTTCAAAACCCTTGATAGCAGAGCAGATATTGTTTACCAAAAAATGTTAGTTTTCTATTTTTACGCGGCAACATGCAATAATGTTGTCAATTATACATTCCCTGTCAATTATACCTCTGGGCTAATGCGATAAACTGTAGTTTAGAGGTCATTGCCCTGGGCAGTAAACTCGGGCAGTAAACTTTTGTTTCCTGCCCGGCCTATCAAATAACATGGCATTTTGACACCGACAGTTTCTTGGTCATAGTTTTACTGCCCGGCTCGTGCTGTGCTTAAGACATACCCCGGCATGTAGGAAATAACTAGGCTGCCTGAAAAGCCGACTCTACGAGTTCAAAGCCGACTCTACGAGACTCGTACCGCGTATTTGACCCCATGTGACCCACTACTCTCACAGGTCCGATGCTGACGGGTCTGCGCGAGATCCACCTGACGGTCCCGGCCGACGAGCCGGAGCCTGCTGCCGCTCCGGCTGCTCCGGCCGCCGTGCCGACCACGCCGCCGGCGGCCCCCATCTCCGGGCAGAGTCTACTGCAGAGCGGACAGGTGAGCCGGGGAGAGGGAGAGAGGAGGGAGGGTTAGGGCAGAGGGGATAGATGAGAGCGGATAGATGAGAGAAGATTGTCAAGAGAGGAGAGCGGAAGTCGCTGGGGGAGATAAAAAGGCTGCTCGTTGGGAGAAAATGACTTCACTGCTAAGGACTGATAACTGTTCTACCAAGACTACTTCTTTGTAGGTATACCGCATAGGCTCCCTCTTCGCTTTGTGAAATAGAGGCATGGTCTGGACGTCCGGCATCATCGGAGCCGCTCTGTAACCGTCGTGCCCCTGCATTGTTCCAGCGTCAGTCCCTGTTGTCTCCGCGCCGCATGACGGAGCCTGTGGCCACCGCCGGTCTGCAGGTGGAGGAGACTCCGTCGGGCGCCATCCACCAGGATTTCACCGTCACCCAGGAGTACATACAGCAGAGTGAGTCACACACGGGAACGACACTGGGGGGTTTAAACACGGCAACGACACTGGGGGTTTAAATAAGTTTCTCGTGAAGTTACTTTATTGTAATGTTTCAAAAGTCATTTGGAGCATTTTAATTTGGTAAACTATGGCCGACTGGGATGTTTGCTCGATAAATTATCCTTTCCCGTTTCTTTTTTACACCCACTCCCGTCTCGTCTGTCTTACGGCGCCCTTTACCACCATCACCCTCCTCTCCATCTCCAGGCATCAACAACGCGCTCAACTCTGATAACCTGAAGCCGGAGATAGCCGAGAAGCTGCTGCAGCTGCGTAAGAAGCCGGCCGGCGGCGGGGATGGCGGACCGACCCCGCCGCGACAGACGGCCGCTGGGGGAGCCGGCGGACAGCCGCCCAAAAAACGACCCAAAACCGACCGGTTAGTGTTCCAAGGAGACGTGGGATGAGATGTATCCAGTCGCTGGGATGTGAGTAGACGAGCTTTGTGTGTAATTGAGTTTGCTTATTGCAAATGTGATCGAACGAAGCGGAAGTTGATGTTGTCACCAATAGTTCAATCGGCTGAACTTTGAAATCTTAATCATAAGCCCATTCTGTTGGCTGAAAATCAAAGTTTGAGTAAAAGCCCGAGATGGCAGATTTGAATGTCGATCGTCGTATTCGATCAGTGTGTACTCGGATCTCCCTTGGACGGTGGTAGCCAGGTTCGATGGCCGCCCAGTAAGTGCTGCGCTCACGCCTTCCTCTCCGTCCGCAGGCCCCGCCAGCCGTCGTCCGGCCGCTCCCGGCCGCGCTCCGAGAAGCGAATCATCCGTCCGTCGGCCCGCCTGCAGCAGCTCAGCAGGCGCAAGGAGCAACTGAAAAAGGAGATCCTGCGCAAACGTCTGCAGATGGAGAACCAGCTGCAGCTGGAGATCTCCAAACAGCTGGCGGCCTACCGACACGCCATAGCGGAGCAGCGCGCCGCGGCCGAGGCGGCCGCGCGACCCGGCGGCCGGCAGCGCAGAGACTCGTCACCCAGGGTGGGTGGAGCTGTGTTTTGCGGATTGCGATTAACCGGAATTCGCTTGAATGCGGTGGTCGATTTTTTTTTTAATCGGTCTGCGGTCATTGTTATCGGTGGACGGTGATTTTAAGTTGTTGACAAAACCATTTTTTAACATTTTTGCGAGCTCATCAATGTGCTCTTGCATTTCTCTCTCCCCGGCTTCTGACGTTCCCCGTTCTTTGGCCTGAAAGCAGGGCCGGAAGTCGAACGAGCACCGCCGGAAGTCTGACGAGTCCGGCCGGAAGCGCAAGTCGTCCACCTCTCGCGCCAGTCCGGCGGCCGGCCGGCCCGCCAAAAAGGCCAAGAAGGAGCCGAAGGAGTCGCCGCGGGACACCAAGAAGCTCTACTGCATCTGCCGGCAGCCGTACGACCCCTCCAAGTACGTTTGATAGCGCGGTTATGTAACAGCTGAAATGAATCACTGGCCTGTCTGTAGCGGATGGTTGAAATTCAAATTAGTGGGAATCTGCTCAGGAAGTGGCACACATTTGCCACTTTAAACTTTAAAGGTCTTATTTTTCAACAAGGCGGGTCCTTAAGTATGTTCATTGTTCGTGTCATTTGAAACATTCTGGCTGTTTTTAAATCGTTCAGACTTCAGATGATACAACGCGGAATATAGATTATGGAATCTGGTTTTGACATACCGGAATCTCGGAACAGCTATAAACAGCAGTCTTGTTAAAGGGACTATCCCACCTTTAACATGGGGCTTGAGTTGAGATAGCCAAGTTTGCGGCGAGGTTCAGAAACCACTATCTATCTAGGTTGCAACCCCCGCGGCCTCTTGGTGTTGAAGAAATTCGTTCCCTTCATTTGAAAATGGGCCTTGTGCAAGGCCCTATCTTCAACATGGAGCGACCGTTAGTGTGACGTCACCTCGTTTAGTCATTCTGATTTAAATGGGTTTGTTCGTTGAAAAATCGCTTAAAACTTGGTCTGAACTTTGTTGTGGTGCCTACAGAGTAAAAAGAATCAGCTTTATGACAGTAACGTGGCCTGGGGAAGGAGGTAATTTTGGGCTGTGACGTCACATATTTGAAAGTTTGTGTTTGGAATATGGGAAGCCTAAGATGTTTAATGAAAAATAAATGCCAGAACCGTGTTTCTGGTCATCCAATCTATAAAGTCGGGCACAATTTAACTGGTTTTAACAACATTTTAGAAGGTGGGATAGTCCCTTTAAAACCTGTCAGTAATTACTGACCTCCCTCCTTTCCATCGCCAGGTTCTACGTGGGCTGTGACATGTGCAGCAACTGGTACCACGGCCAATGTGTGGGCATCTCGCAGCGTAACAGCAAGAAGGTGAAGGCCTTCGTGTGCCAGCAGTGCCAGTCGGCCAAGGAGAACAGGGAGCTGTTCTGCTTCTGCCGCACAGAATACGACGAGTCGCAGTAAGAAGGGGACCGACTTACTGTGGGAAGGGACGGAGTCACATTGGGTAGACTGACGGGCATAGGACCCTGCCCTTCTATCGGATCTACTAGTCTCCTAGTATGCGTATGTGTTCTTACACTGATTGTTCGGTGATGCGCTTCCTAATTATGTGATGTAGTTGTGATCGAGCTCCGTTTTGTTGAATTATTGAAGGTTAACCGGTTGCTGTATAAACGGCCTTTATTTTTTACCCAGCTTGTCTCAAAATCCTATTTTCTTGTTGCCTCTCTGCCTCGGGTGTCGCTTCCCCTCAGTGTCTGCTGCCTTACCGCACTGTCTAAACCCGTCCCTCCGTTCCACCGTCAGGTTCTACATCGGCTGTGACACGTGCGAGGACTGGTTCCACGGCCGCTGCGTGGGTATCCTGCCCTCCGAGGGAGACGATATCGACGACTACGTGTGCCCCCGCTGCGACCCCGAGTCGCGCATCAACGGGCCCAACTTCCGGCCGCTGACGGACGCCAACTACGCTGAGCTGCGGCGCGTCTTCAAACAGATCAAGGTAAGGGATCGGACAGCGGGAGCTGGGGAAGGGGACCGCTCACTAGGGTGAAGTTATTGGAAGTCTTTTGAGCTGAATGAAGCTCTGCTTTTTAAGAATGATTGGTAATGTTTTTCACCCAACTTTGCTGTTGGATGTTGAATTTTTAGCAATGATCCATTCCATTGATAGCCTGCTAACTTTGTTCGTTTTTTTTCTGTTCGTTTCGACAGAATAACAAGAACGCGTGGCCGTTCATCGAGCCCGTCGATCCTGACGAAGTGCCCAACTACTACAAGGTCATCAAGGAACCAATGGGTGAGCAGCGCGCATCAAACTACTGGCTTCGACAAAGGACGGTCGTCGGATCGAGTCTTGTCGCTTACTGTTATCGTTAACAGTCAATTTTGTTGATTACTACCAGCTGATAAATACCGTTATTCATGTTTGTTGGTAAATTCCCACACACAGGTTGATCGAGACGTTTACTCGTCGAGCTCGTTCTCTAACACGCCCCCCCCCCCCGCCCCTCCGTTCAGATCTGCAAACGATGGAGAACCGCCTCGAGTCGCGCCACTACGGACGTCTCTGCGACTTCACCGGAGACATGATCGTCGTGCTCGAGAACTGCAAGTTCTTCAACCCGCCCGGCACACGGCTCGCCACGTGCGGAGTCAACCTGGAGGCCTTCTTCCGCGCCGAGCTCAAGAAGCTGCGTACCAAGATCTGAGCAGCATTGCCGGCGGCGGCGCGGAGCGGGACTCTGGGATGATTGAGTGGACTAGAAGGGAAACATGATTCGATCGTAGAGTGTAGGTGGTTCTGGACCACATTGTCTGCGTTGGTTGAAATGGGAGTGTGAAATTTGACATGGGCCGTGCGTTGGTGACGTTCAGTATGCAAGGGACTGACTTCCAGGGCTGCCATTGGGAGGTGTTTGTGTGGGCTGGGGGAGGGGAGATACAGTTGGGGACAGCATGAGAGCTCCTGCTGCCGAGAGAAGAGGTCTGACGGTGGTATGTCCTCGTTCCCGACTCTGTGTTGGAATGGGGAGAGCTCGGTGCCGCGTGGGATTGGTAACACTCGCCAGAGAGCAGCAGCGCAGGGCAGACTAGAGCCGAACCGCGAACGGTCCGATAAGCGGGCTCTGTTGGGAGAGAGTGGATGGGTTTGGGTGGCGTGGCAGGCAGAGATGAGACCCTCGCGACTAGCAGCGAGTGGAGTGAGCCCACACTGCGCCCTGGGCGGGTGCGAGGGACGGTTACGGACGGTTACACCGCCCGGCAGAGTGTGAATGTGATTGCGTTTTCATTGACTTGTATTCTCGCCGGCCGGTTAGCGCATTATTCAGTCACAACTTGTACAAAGCCTCATCATTGTTCACCGAGTACCCACGGAGCGGCGGCCGGCCGGTTTTAGAGCAGCATGCAGGCCGGCGGCTGGCTTTTATTCATCAATTTGTTGTTTTTTTTTTCTGCGACTTTGCCATGTTGCTAAATAAACCGCGTGCCAGCCGGACTGGTGTTGTGGAGGGATACCGAACCGAGGTTGTTTGGAATGATGTGAAGGGAGCTGCTGTACCTTGGTGGATGGGGAAGCGGTATATTTGTTGATGACAACCGCTGCATTAAAAACAGATCATTATATGTGTAAAAGCGCATTGGATATCATGCCATCTTATCAAGATTTCGTCAGCACAACAGAAGAGGTAAGATGCTTGGAAAAAACGCAGATCCCGCGGCTCGCGTATCAAGTTTCAAAATATCAATGACGAAACTATCAGGGAAAGGGACAGCACTGCTGAAAAAAAAAGAATTTCAGAAAGCTTGTAAGTCCGTGGTACGGGGAAACGCATATGTGTCAATTGTCATGCCCCATTAAAAAAGGAGCATCTTTTAGAAGCGCGGGCAGCAAGTGTTGGGACTAGAGAAACCGCGGATCGATTAACAATAGAAGAGTGCCGCAAAAATATTTATTGAGGATAAGGATAAAATCGTAACTTTGTTTGTATAACTACTGAGATGAATATATTGATGGTGTCAATTTGTGCTCTCAAAAAGACCTACTATTTTGTACGTATTGCAGCCTATACATTAAAATATAGTGGTATTATTTCTATCAAAATCTCATCGAATATGGCAGCAACGGTAAAGAAATAAGAACGAAGGAAAAAACAGAATCAAAACCTCAAATAAACTGTAGACGAGAAGCTTGCTTTAGATCAACTGAGGATAGCCAATTCAGCTGAGAACAGTCATAAACACGAAATAACTGCATGAGGGAATCAATTGACTTTCATGTGTGAAAAATTATGAAGTTCGGAATTGCCAGAATATTCGCAGGGAGGAAGAAACTGCTGCCATATTTGGACTGATCGTTCGCCGTAAACGCCGCGCAAAAACGCTATGCATTTGCATTGGATTGCGTTTCTCCATTGTTTGGGTTAGGGCGTATGGTGTGGGATTTTCTGATAAAGTTCCGTGGCGTGCGAAAGTGGTTTTCATATTGGGATACACTTGAACAAAATTATTTTCTCTATTGTGAGAAGGGCACTCGGGACAATCTTCAAGGCGTGGAGAGATCATTTGGAGTCATCTGAAACAGAAAGTGCTTCCATTGTGATTGTTTTGTTTCACCCTGCTTCAAGAATATCTGCTCAAGTGTTAAGCCTTCAGTTGACCTAATCGTCTTCTTCCTGGGCGACGTTTCTGGAGGATTGCATATTTTTCATCATGCCTTGATTTTCTGATGTGTAAGTATTTGTAGGCCTCATGAAAGTGTAGCCGGCGAGGACCTAGGTACCAGTACCTGATTTTAATTGGATATCTTTGTTGGATTGGAAACCATCATAAAATATTGCTGTGCATTGCAGTTTATGGTTTTAAAATTGTTTTAAAATTACTGCTCATGGTGAATGCTTTTCTTCATCTCCCTGTTGGCTGTTCATAGGATCTCGTATCAAGACTTGGTGAACGTCTGCTCTACTAATACCCAAAATTTGTGTACCTATGGTATGACAGTGGTTCCCCTCCATTTGTTATGGCTCCTATGTTTTAGCAACATTGAAACTGTGATTAATCCATGTGCATTGCTTGTTCATTTTTATTTTTGTGCGCTCATTTCTCATGAGAACTATCCCTTCTGTAATTTACAGTGTAGACTTTGCTAGTATTCTTTTAGAAGCTTATTGGATCTGGATGCCCGCCTCAGTCAGTATCATGTCCACATGCCACATGTTAAACTGCATACTCTAAATTCTGTTATAGATAAAGAATTATGCAATTGAAAGGTAGAGGGCAGGACTGATACATGCAACAAGCTCTGCTTAGCTGAGGCTCTACATTTGTGAATCCTTCTATTCAAATGGTTAAGGTTTAGGCTAAATTTGTTTAATAAATGCTCCATAGTATATTGTAATTCTGATGTTGCATGAGGGACTGTATGGCTTGTTGCAGATTATGGGTATCATGACATTCTTCGCCACCGATGACAATATATTGGTGTTTGACGCAGGGCCCAGGGGCCAGGGATCCCACATTTGTGCTGTTGATGGATGAAATCAGGACTGGAGATCCTGTTTAGATTCTGAGATCCAGACTCAGAGAGACCTGACCTGGTTCTGTCCTGAAACCTGAGTCCTCTCAGATTGCTTTGAGGACTTGTCTGGCTAAGCTGAGGCCCTTAGAGAGTGGTGGGTAATCGTTTTACATATGAAGGTAGTTCTCTTATATTATTTTTAGGCCAGCTCAGCTTTCATAAAAGTGGGAGTTGCCTCTTTATCATAGAATGATAGCTTATCACAAGATGCACCATTGTAGCTAATCAGGATGAATTTTACTGACCTCAGTGGGTAACTTTTGAGGCCAATATCTAGTGACCTGGTGTTTGATGTTATTTAGTATTACTTGTCATGACTATAGGCCATCCCTGTCAGGATTCTCACATTTGGAGCATTGGATCAACTTTCACTTTGGCTTGCAATATTTGGATTTGGATGCTTTTGTTACTGAAATATAGAGCAGGTGTAATTTACTTGACACTTGTTTCTCATTGGTTCTGTTGATGGTTGCTTGATCCCTGAGTCTTATGCATTTGTTGTACTTTGTCTGGTCCATATTCCATGTGACCCTGGCTTGGTTTATGCCGCCCTTCCAGCAGCCTCCCGCCTGCCTGTGCCGCGGTCAGCTGACACCTCCCACCTGCCCGTGCCACAGTCATCTGACCTTGTAGTTGTACCCCTCCGACAGCCTCCCGCCTGCTCTGGTCGCGATCCGTCGCCGCCCCCAGTGCCGTGTGGGGTCAGCTGACACTCCTCCCTTCCCTCAGCCTCCCGTCTGCCCGAGCCGCGGTCAGCTGACACTGTACCCCTCCCCCACCCGCAGCCTCCCGTCTGCCCGAGCCGCGGTCCGTCGCCGCCCCCCAGTGCCGTGTGGGGTCAGTTGACTGACACCCTCCCCTCCAGCAGCCTCCCGTCTGCCCGTGCCGCGATCCGTCGCCGCCCCCCAGTGCCGTGTGGGGTCAGTTGACTGACACCCTCCCCTCCAGCAGCCTCCCGTCTGCCCGTGCCGCGGTCCGTCGCCGCCCTCTGTGCTGTGTGCGCCTGTGATGCCCGGCGCGGCTAGAGATGGCCTCACCGAGCCCCAGTCAGGAGCGTGCCTACGACTACCTGCTGAAGATACTGCTGGTCGGAGACAGCGACGTTGGAAAGGGGGAGATTCTGAGCCGGCTGGACGCCGAGCCCACCGACTCGCCCTTCAGCTCGCTCACCGGGCCAGGTCAGTCGCTGCGGGGTGAGAGGCTGGACATTATGGGTGACAGGGCAGTGATTGATGAGGAGGTCTTAGGTACTGTCTCAAGCTTGGGTAATAGATCTCACTATGACAGTTCTAGTTGGTGTAGTGTGCGTTTGATTGCTGGCGTAGCAGTTGATGAAGCTGTCCCATGCAGAGCTGTTCAAGTGATTGTGAAATGTCCCTCACTTAAACAATCATCAATAGCTCCTCAGGCTGTGCTTTCATCACCACAACATCCATGTGTGAGCAGTCATTACCGTGCCTAATTGCAAGCTAAGTACCCATTTCCATCTTTGTACAAAGCATTTATCCCATCTTTCCTCTCTGGGAGGTCCTCAAAGAGACTAGGTGATGGTGACACCATCTCCCCTCTCCACAGACTGTAAGACCACGATGATCCTGTTGGACGGTAAGCGGGTCAAACTGCAGCTGTGGGACACATCGGGCCAGGGTCGGTTCAGCACCATCCTGCGCTCGTACTCGCGCGGCACGCAGGGCGTCCTGCTCGTCTACGACATCACCAACAAGTGGAGCTTCGACAGCATGGACCGGTGGCTCAAGGAGGTCGAGGAGGTGAGAGACAGGGAGGGGAGGGAAGGAGAGGAAAGAGAAAGGAAAGCATGGAGAGAGATGCAGGAAATCAACCAATCAATTTATCAATCGATCAATAAAAGATCGAATGAGTGAATGAATGAATGAATGAATGAATGAATGTAAGCAAAAAGAGAGGAGACAGGAGTGGGATGTTGTGGAAGTAATGGGTAACTGAAGAGTAGCAGAGGCTTCTTATATGTTGTGTGATGTGGTGTTGTACATGGATTAATGAACAATTAGCTGTACAACTTACCTTGATTTTAACCATATGCTCATTGCTCAGCGTGAATTATCCTACAGTGTAGACGGGATGAGAGCTATATTAGCTCGGCGACGCCGCCTCGTTGTCTCACTGTACGTCTTCGTCTCTCCGTTGTCAGCACGCGCCGGGCATCCCCAAGATCCTGGTGGGTAACCGGTGTCACCTGGCCTACAAGCGGCGCGTCTCGCTCTCGGAGGCAGAGGCGTACGCGGCAGACAACCGGATGGCGTTCTTCGAGATGTCGCCGCTGTGTGACTTCAACATCCTGGAGAGCTTCACCGAGCTGAGCCGACTGGCGCTCTACAGGAACGGCATGGAGCGGCTCTGGAGGGCCAACAAAGGTGAGGAGGGGTCGGGACGCTGTACAGGAACGGCATGGAGAGGCTCTGGCGGGCCAACAAAGGTGAGGAGGGGACGGGACGCTGTACAGGAACGGCATGGAGCGGCTCTGGAGGGCCAACAAAGGTGAGAAGGGGACGGGACGTTGTACAGGAACGGCATGGAGCGGCTCTGGAGGGCCAACAAAGGTGAGGAGGGGGTGAGACGCTGTACAGGAACGGCATGGAGCGGCTCTGGAGGGCCAACAAAGGTGAGGAGGGGACGGGACGCTGTACAGGAACGGCATGGAGCGGCTCTGGAGGGCCAACAAAGGTGAGGAGGGGACGGGACGCTGTACAGGAACGGCATGGAGCGGCTCTGGAGGGCCAACAAAGGTGAGGAGGGGACGGGACACTGTACAGGAACGGCATGGAGAGGCTCTGGAGGGCCAACAAAGGTGAGGAGGGGACGGGACACTGTACAGGAACGGCATGGAGAGGCTCTGGAGGGCCAACAAAGGTGAGGAGGGGACGAGACGCTGTACAGGAACGGCATGGAGAGGCTCTGGAGGGCCAACAAAGGTGAGAAGGGGACGGGACGCTGTACAGGAACGGCATGGAGAGGCTCTGGAGGGCCAACAAAGGTGAGGAGGGGACGGGACGCTGTACAGGAACAGCATGGAGAGGCTCTGGAGGGCCAACAAAGATGAGGAGGGGACGAGATGCTGTACAGGAACGGCATGGAGAGGCTCTGGAGGGCCAACAAAGGTGAGGAGGGGACGAGACGCTGTACAGGAACGGCATGGAGAGGCTCTGGAGGGCCAACAAAGGTGAGGAGGGGACGAGACGCTGTACAGGAACGGCATGGAGAGGCTCTGGAGGGCCAACAAAGGTGAGGAGGGGACGGGACGCTGTACAGGAACGGCATGGAGAGGCTCTGGAGGGCCAACAAAGGTGAGGAGCGGACGGGACGCTGTACAGGAACGGCATGGAGAGGCTCTGGAGGGCCAACAAAGGTGAGGAGGGGACGAGACGCTGTACAGGAACGGCATGGAGAGGCTCTGGAGGGCCAACAAAGGTGAGGAGGGGACGGGACGCTGTACAGGAACGGCATGGAGAGGCTCTGGAGGGCCAACAAAGGTGAGGAGGGGACGGGACGCTGTACAGGAACGGCATGGAGAGGCTCTGGAGGGCCAACAAAGGTGAGGAGGGGACGAGACGCTGTACAGGAACGGCATGGAGAGGCTCTGGAGGGCCAACAAAGGTGAGGAGGGGACGAGACGCTGTACAGGAACGGCATGGAGAGGCTCTGGAGGGCCAACAAAGGTGAGGAGGGGACGGGACGCTGTACAGGAACGGCATGGAGAGGCTCTGGAGGGCCAACAAAGGTGAGGAGGGGACGAGACACTGTACAGGAACGGCATGGAGAGGCTCTGGAGGGCCAACAAAGGTGAGGAGGGGACGGGACGCTGTACAGGAACGGCATGGAGAGGCTCTGGAGGGCCAACAAAGGTGAGGAGGGGACGAGACGCTGTACAGGAACGGCATGGAGCGGCTCTGGAGGGCCAACAAAGGTGAGGAGGGGACGAGACGCTGTACAGGAACGGCATGGAGCGGCTCTGGAGGGCCAACAAAGGTGAGGAGGGGACGAGACACTGTACAGGAACGGCATGGAGAGGCTCTGGAGGGCCAACAAAGGTGAGGAGGGGACGGGACGCTGTACAGGAACGGCATGGAGAGGCTCTGGAGGGCCAACAAAGGTGAGGAGGGGACGAGACGCTGTACAGGAACGGCATGGAGCGGCTCTGGAGGGCCAACAAAGGTGAGGAGGGGACGAGACGCTGTACAGGAACGGCATGGAGCGGCTCTGGAGGGCCAACAAAGGTGAGGAGGGGACGCGGGACGCTCTACAGGAACGGCATGGAGCGGCTCTGGAGGGCCAACAAAGGTGAGGAGGGGACGAGACGCTGTACAGGAACGGCATGGAGCGGCTCTGGAGGGCCAACAAAGGTGAGGAGGGGACGGGACGCTGTACAGGAACGGCATGGAGAGGCTCTGGAGGGCCAACAAAGGTGAGGAGGGGACGAGACGCTGTACAGGAACGGCATGGAGCGGCTCTGGAGGGCCAACAAAGGTGAGGAGGGGGCGGGACGCTGTACAGGAACGGCATGGAGAGGCTCTGGAGGGCCAACAAAGGTGAGGAGGGGACGAGACGCTGTACAGGAACGGCATGGAGAGGCTCTGGAGGGCCAACAAAGGTGAGGAGGGGACGAGATGCTGTACAGGAACGGCATGGAGAGGCTCTGGAGGGCCAACAAAGGTGAGGAGGGGACGCGGGACGCTGTACAGGAACGGCATGGAGAGGCTCTGGAGGGCCAACAAAGGTGAGGAGGGGACGAGACGCTGTACAGGAACGGCATGGAGCGGCTCTGGAGGGCCAACAAAGGTGAGGAGGGGACGAGACGCTGTACAGGAACGGCATGGAGAGGCTCTGGAGGGCCAACAAAGGTGAGGAGGGGACGAGACGCTGTACAGGAACGGCATGGAGAGGCTCTGGAGGGCCAACAAAGGTGAGGAGGGGACGAGACACTGTACAGGAACGGCATGGAGAGGCTCTGGAGGGCCAACAAAGGTGAGGAGGGGACGGGACGCTGTACAGGAACGGCATGGAGAGGCTCTGGAGGGCCAACAAAGGTGAGGAGGGGACGGGACGCTGTACAGGAACGGCATGGAGCGGCTCCAAAGGTGAGGAGGGGACGGGACGCTGTACAGGAATGGCATGGAGCGGCTCTGGAGGGCCAACAAAGGTGAGGAGGGGACGCGGGACGCTGTATGGGAACGGCATGGAGCGGCTCTGGAGGGCCAACAAAGGTGAGGAGGGGACGGGACGCTGTACAGGAACGGCATGGAGAGGCTCTGGAGGGCCAACAAAGGTGAGGAGGGGACGAGATGCTGTACAGGAACGGCATGGAGAGGCTCTGGAGGGCCAACAAAGGTGAGGAGGGGACGCGGGACGCTGTATGCGAACGGCATGGAGCGGCTCTGGAGGGCCAACAAGGTGAGGAGGGGACGGGACGCTGTACAGGAACGGCATGGAGAGGCTCTGGAGGGCCAACAAAGGTGAGGAGGGGACGAGATGCTGTACAGGAACGGCATGGAGCGGCTCTGGAGGGCCAACAAAGGTGAGGAGGGGACGCGGGACGCTGTACAGGAACGGCATGGAGAGGCTCTGGAGGGCCAACAAAGGTGAGGAGGGGACGAGACGCTGTACAGGAACGGCATGGAGAGGCTCTGGAGGGCCAACAAAGGTGAGGAGGGGACGAGACGCTGTACAGGAACGGCATGGAGAGGCTCTGGAGGGCCAACAAAGGTGAGGAGGGGACGAGACGCTGTGCAGGAACGGCATGGAGAGGCTCTGGAGGGCCAACAAAGGTGAGGAGGGGACGAGACGCTGTACAGGAACGGCATGGAGAGGCTCTGGAGGGCCAACAAAGGTGAGGAGGGGACGAGACGCTGTACAGGAACGGCATGGAGAGGCTCTGGAGGGCCAACAAAGGTGAGGAGGTGACGAGACGCTGTATGGGAACGGCATGGAGAGGCTCTGGAGGGCCAACAAAGGTGAGGAGGGGACGGGACGCTGTACAGGAACGGCATGGAGAGGCTCTGGAGGGCCAACAAAGGTGAGGAGGGGACGAGACACTGTACAGGAACGGCATGGAGCGGCTCTGGAGGGCCAACAAAGGTGAGGAGGGGACGAGACGCTGTACAGGAACGGCATGGAGAGGCTCTGGAGGGCCAACAAAGGTGAGGAGGGGACGCGGTACGCTGTACAGGAACGGCATGGAGCGGCTCTGGAGGGCCAACAAAGGTGAGGAGGGGACGCGGGACGCTGTACAGGAACGGCATGGAGAGGCTCTGGAGGGCCAACAAAGGTGAGGAGGGGACGGGACGCTGTACAGGAACAGCATGGAGAGGCTCTGGAGGGCCAACAAAGGTGAGGAGGGGACGCGGGACGGGAGGGCTGGGAGGGCTAGACGTACCTAATGGTAGGGGATAGTCCTGTGACAGGGTAGTGAGTGGTTACTGGCGTGGAGGCGGCGAACAACATAAAGGTGATGTTTGTGTATTACAAACAAGGACTGAAGTTGATCGTTACAACACTGCATTTTGCTACTCTGTTTATGATTGGAATGGATGGAATGTACCATTCGGTTTAACTAGTGAAATTTAGAATATTAGCTTTATCACGGAAAATTCACCTATTGGGCAAAAATTAATACTCGGCAGTTGATTTTCGAGCTTGTCACTTCGTAGCGGTAGAGGCATTTCACTGGCGTGAGGACCGATTGTCATCCCTCCCAGTTTAAATGCGTCTATTGTGGTAGTGATTACTGTTATCGGGATGCAATGCTTCTTGTGTGTCCGTCTGATAAACCCACTTAAGTTTTAGTGAGCTGGCATGTCGCGACAAGCTATCATTGTCTGATATAGACGTCATAGGTGCTTGAACAGATATCTTGTCATGTCGTCACTGTGCGTACTGCGTACTCAATGACCCCATTGTATTGTGATACGGATAACCAAACTTACGTCTTTAGATTGCATCACCTTTTTATTAATTTATCAAGCTGCTTGGTATTGGAAACGAAGTGGATTAGGCTTATACTTCCACTTTGTTCCCCGACATATATTGTCATGTAAAATTGCTGAGCGAAGGGCCAATCCACAATCGCTGATACAGGTCACGATTGCCCAATGAAACAGGGTTCATTGGTGTGAAATGTGAATGTTGCTCGTTTTCTATTTCTCCCTCTTTTCTGTCCATACCTTCGTTATCCCCCTCCTCTTCTCTTGCTCGTTTCTGTTTTCCTTATTTCACACCTCACTATTATGTGACCCTCTAGTCTTCTGCCTACGCTGCTTTACCCTTCACTGGCTCGCCTTGTCGTCTGCAGCTGTTTCGTGTATGATAACCCGCGTCCGTCCTCCCGCAGTGCTGTCGCTCCAAGAGCTCTGCTGTCGGGCCATCGTGGCCCGCACCACCGTGTACAACATTGACCAGCTGCCTCTACCGGCCGCCCTGCGCGGCTACCTCAAATCGTACGCCGAGTGCGGCTACAAGACGCTGCGGCCGCAGCGAACCGGCTCCCAGCGGCACAAACACCGCAGGAAGATCATCACGCCACAGACATACCGGCCGCCCCGACCGCCCCTGTCCACCATGCTGCTGGGAGGACGCAGCTGCGTGCTCATGTGACGGATGGAGACAGGGCGGGGGCGGGAGGATAGGCGGGGGCGGGGTGAGGTGGACAGGCGGGCGGAGGTGGGGACAGGCAGGCGGGGGCGGAGGAAGGCGAGGAGGTGGATTATGGCGGACAGGGAAGGAGGAAAAGACAGGAGGACAAATATGGGATCTAGTGGACGGTTCAGGCTTTGGTGGGGAAGGTAAAAAATATGTGAGCAGAAGAGAAGGACTTGGTGGGGTGGGAGTCATGAAGAAAATGAGAGGAAGGAAATTGGTAAAAGCTGGGCTGGCAGTTTCAGATATCCGAAGTTTGGTAAATGATAGAAGCTGAGAAGTTCGCCGCCCGCCCTACAGACTCAGTACAAACAGAGGGATACGCACACCGCCCCCGCCTTCCGCGTCACAGAGGCATCTAGCGGCCGCCGCGCGAAGCTGCAGCTGCGGCGGCGGTCAGCAGGTGCCACCCCGGTCGCCCCGACCCGACCCCTAGGGGCGCCCCACACCGCGCTCCGACGTCATATAGTCATCTTGTATATACGTCATTTTACACGTTGTAATATTTTCATATGAAAGTTGTTGCCCAGATGGCTGCAACCTGATCCACGGGGGTGTGGATTGCTGGCGCTAATTCGAAGGACATCGAGAATTGATCGAGAAGCTTCTAAAGGACGCGGACCCGTTGATTTTTGTCGATAACCGGCCTCGTGCTGCACTGTTAACGCGCACCTCCTGGCACTGAGCTATCGTCTATCGTCCAATCGAGTGTGGTGTGTGAGAAATGTACTGCACTAAGCGTGACTTACCTGATTGATTCTTCCTGCGCACTTTCGATCGATTTCTTTGGCCCGTCGTCGCGGTGCGCCGGTCCGTCCCACGCGCTCGTGCGGCGTTTGCTGAGTTCTTTCTGTGGGCTGGGTGTCCCGTATGTCGCCCAGTGTGAGGATGGTTGGTGCTTATTGGCCGGCAGCGAATCTAATCGGTTAATTGGTCATACTGCGTGATGGTTTTGTTATTTACCGATTGTTTGGGCAACTAGCATTTAAGACAATGCGAGTGTATGTGTGTGTATGGGTCCGCACAACCCGTATAGGAGAATGGAGGAATCTCATGGGGGATGCCCAGAGCCGAGATAATACAAAATACCATAAGATACTTGTTTTCTCGGAAGGCGTTGATTGATTACTTCGATTTGCAATGGGGACTCACGGGAGCTGCTTCCATGAGTTATCTGTGAACAACATAACGTAAGCGCTACCAAACAGTGGGGCAGTTACAATAATGCAACTAACCAATTGTGCTTGTTGTGACTTGAAAAGCTGGGATATGAGACAGTTCACACCCGTTAGAACACCTTTTAGCTTGGCTACTAAGAATTTCTGGCGCTGGCTCCGAGAGAGAGTACCTAGATCTCGCAGCAGAGGTGCGGTCATTGTCGCGTCACCGCCTTCGCGCAACCGGGGAGCCTGATGCGTCCCTTCCGCTGGGACCGTCATCATTTCAACACAGCTTCGTAACGGAGTCACGAAAAGACACGCGCTGGGACCGCTGGGACCTGTGTTATCACACCGCCAATGAGAGGACAGAATCAGAAATGTATGACGTCATACACTGAGTGTGCCGTTCGCTATTTGGGGAGCCGCTCATTCTCTTGTGCGTCATAGCTGACGTCATCCAATCAGAGCTGGATGATTACGTCACGCACATGCGCAGACGGCATCTAGCGTCAATACGGTCGAGAATCGAGTGCTATTGTCGGTATACCAGCTGCTTGGTGAATGCTTTGGCGACGGAGTGCGAGCTCGGACTGAAGCAGAAATACGGGGAAGCCAACACAGAAATCCGCGCCGAGTGTACGAGAGCCTGGAGCGAACCGGCACACTTGGAGTCCAGGTATGCTTGACGCCGAAAATTGTGTTGTTTGTTGTCTGTGTTGCAGCTCGCAGCGTTTCAGTTTGTGGTGTTGTGGTGAATTGTTTGTGTGGTTTCTTATGTCATTTTAAGGTGCTTCGTGTTTGATACATCGATGCAGTTTTGATGCCTATTTTCCGCTCTTTGGAGACTGTGACGCTGAATTTGCTGTTCACTTCCCTGCACTGAAAGTCAATGCAATTTGAATCTTTGTCGTTCACTCGATGCCGCCTCGAATCAGAATTCCAGCGTTACGAATTTGTTGATTGTGTCTTGTTTCTGACGACTGACATCATCCGTTGTTGGCTGTTGCACATTTTTCCATGGCGGTGCTATCCAGTCAGTGATCATCATAACTACCGTCTACCTCGGTGCGTAGTTTCGCCCCGAGTTTCGCCCCGCCCCGCCCCTCCCGGTCTCCCGGTGCCCCTCCCTCCCCGTGTTCTTACCCTCCCCTCCGTCATCCCCCCGCGCTGTTCTCTCGATCCTCTTACCTGTCTTACTTAATTAACCCCTGTTGACCTCTTTCACCCTCCCAACCCATCACAACCAATACTGACCTAACCTCTCTGACCCCACCGTTTGACCTCGCGACCCCTCATTTCGCAGAGATGGGTAACGCCCTGGCTACCTACCAGGGTCGGGACGGAAGCGAACCTCCGCCGGAGACAGTTACCCTTCTGGACCTGCCGGTATGTCCGTCCCCCTCCCCTCCCCCTCCCCTCCGGATTGACAGTCGGCCGTGTATGTGGATCGATGGACCGGCAGGGGCGGCGCCAGGAGTGCAGAGCGGGGGGCGGAGTTTGTTGTGAGGTGGAGTGGCAGAGGCGTTGCTAGGAGCGCAGCGCGGGAGGATTTGTTATGTGGTGTTGCAGGGCGGGAGGAAGGGTAGGGGAAACAGTGGGGACGGCTGAATTGGGAGGATAGGGGACGTTTCGAAGGGTGGATTAGTTCCAGTGGTGAAATTGTTGAATTGGCTAGTTTCGGGCAATGCGACTGTTCCGATGCCTCTCGTCACGTTTCGCGACGATCTTTGGACCCTTTTGACCTGATCATTAACCCGTTAGACCTCTATTTGACTCGTGCTAATCCGTCATTAAGACTCACTTCTGAATCGACAGTTTGCATAGCTGGGACGAGGCGTAACAGTTCGTTCATTGTATCGGTGATCGTGCATCGATCTTTCTTCGCTATCAGCGATGTGAAAACTCTCGACTTCGACTTTAGTTTCTGAATCATGCGAACTCCTCAGTCAGTACGAAATCCCAATGACGCTTGTGAGAGATGAGGGTTTGTGAAGATTTCAGATATACCTCAGAGGCCAGTTCTACCAACAGAAAAATAGCCGCCTGCCGGAATTTTTTGCCTAAAGACCGCTTCACACACAGAGTGAAACGGTAAAGCCCTATCCGCTTACGTGCCCATCGCGTTTACGCTCCGTATATGAAGCGGTCTTTAGGCAAAAAATTCCGGCAGGCGGCTATTTCTATGTTGGTAAAACTGGCCTCAGATCTATAAGTTCAAGTGGGTTTCTCATTACCCGTCACTTGGGCGTCGATGCAGTATTGATTACTCAATAACGAATAGTAATTTCTAAGACTTCTCGCCGTTGTGTGATTTATTCGAAAAGCATGTTGATGTGCATGTCCGTGCATACCTATCGTAATAGTAACTCGTTCCGTTATTTATTTCAGCTTCTGGTGATGGAGAAAATATCGGTATATTTATCGGCAGAAGACGTCTGGCAACTGGGAGCTACGTGTCGCCAGCTCAGAGAGGTTCGTATAGTCAAATCCTCTCTCTGCAGCCGCAGTATACAACAGTTACACCCGGTTGTTTATGGTTTAGCCGATATCAAGGCGCCTATAAAGAATGCTTATAGCTGCTGGAATACAGGTCGATACCATTCCGATTAGCGGAGCGAAGCCGAAGTCGTAGCCAACGATCATTCGAAAATCCATGCACCCGAATCCAAGCTAGTAATAACTAATAAGTACCGATTGTAAATTTAGACTTGCGCTCTCCGGGCCTCATAACTACACAGCTAATGATTGTTAAAGCTCCCGTAAGCCCCGCTTACACCTTCGTCCATATGGTCTCTGGTTCCGTCCGTGCCACAATATTTGTCTAACATTCGTCTCCTGCCTACCTCTCCCGGGAAGCTGCATTTATCTCGCGGACTCGGCCGTCCTTGAACTTCGACACCTCACGCAGATAACGACATCTCGAGCTGTCGGTTTGCTCTTATCGGGCCGTCTGGCTGCAGGGGCAGAGGTGGTGGAGAATGCAGTTTCAGATCTCGCTTATTCATGTTTGTATCATAATTGCCTCCTCATGTTTATGTGTTCCCAAGTAGGTAGTTAAAGCTCAGCTCAAGCCAATAACCATTTATCAGCTAAGCTGGAATATCAAACCACCCTGTTATTTAGTCGTGTTGTACGATGTGGCACCTGCCACCGACAACAAAGTGCGTCGTCGTTTTCTGTCCTAGCGACGCACTTTTGCCACCAAACTAAGCTCTTGCCAACACACACTGTGTTTTATATCCCTGCTTCTAACCTTAATCACGTTCCATTCTCTTTGTGCGCTGCTCTAACCCCCTCCACGTTCTATTCCAGCTCTGTACTGACGACAAGTTATGGCGAGACCGTATCATGCGTGAGGCGCGTACCCTCATAGTGGACGAACTGAGCGACGAGCAGGCGGTGTTCCAGCACCAGAGACATCAGATTACGATGACCGTGAGCAACCCGCGTCTAGACCAGCCACGACTGCAGTAAGTGGGGAACGGAGGGGGTCAGTGTACCGTGCGTAGTCGTACGTCATATGAGATGATGAAGATACCTGTGTCATGGGTGGAAATATTAGGTAATAGTAAAGTAAGCCGGGGTAGACCTAGGGCAGGCCTGTACTAGACAGTGGACAGGCCAGACTGTAGCTGGGAGGTTGCTAGATATTCCGAAGTTATATCACAGTCGTATTGCCGTATGCAAAACCGAAAAATCATGTGACAGTGTTAGCGATACATGTAACATTTCACGGCTTCGCCGCAACAATGGCAACTATCAGGGCTGTCTCTCTGGCAAAACAAAAACGCTGTGTATCATTTCCCCACCCGTAGGTTACCCGTAGAGCGTGTATACCCCCCTCCTCAGAGTATCACGCCCCCCCCCCCTCCCTCAGCTGGTCATCTGTTCGACCGAGGAAGCGCCGGGAGCCGCCCAGCCGAGGCGCCCTGCTCGACTCGTGGGCTCTCATCACTGACCTGGTCACGGGGCGGAACGCGGCCAGCGCCGCGCCGGCAGGGGTGACGCCGCGCATACTGATGTATGGCTCAGGTCAGTGAAGTGGTGAACGGGACAGTGGGCACTTGATACCTAGACACCTTGGGAGGACCGTGGGTGAAGGTGGCGGTAAGTTGTTCTGCCTAGTTGGTGGCTCACTAAGCGTGTATTAACGGTCCTCGGGGAGGTTTTGCTAGTGGCTGACCAAGTGCTGACTTACGCTTTTTGGCTTGGTTGTCGTTTTGTATCCGCGGCTTGGTAGGGCCCGAGCCCCACCAATATTTTCAGAATTTTGACATTAATTCTGTGGCGCTTCATGGTAAGAATGGCTTTGGTATTCTAAAATTGACCCTTAGAGCCCTACCAATAAGCTTCAGAAAGTGACGCCCGTGGTCCTTGAAAGTTTTGTGGAGGATCGACCATGGACGGTTGGCGTTGTATTGAAAGGATGGATATTGGATAAGCTGGTGGATGTGCATTGTGGGTGTTTGGAAAAGGAAACAGAGAACATATTGCGGAAAGTTGATGAGCTCTATGAAAGTTTCGGAGTTCGTTCGAATTTAGGTCGTTAGTTATCATTGCCGTCTATTTTGCTTTGTCTTTATCACGTTCTTTTAACTTCCGTTTTTCATTATGTCGCGTCGCTTCCCGCAGGTCTGGAGAATAAGAGCGTATTACGTCGAATGATGATGGACAAGGCCGAGGGTCTGCACGTGCACTCACTGGTACCCAGCGCCAATAGAGGCGTAGGTAAGTACTGCTGAAGACTGTGGGATGTTCTATGTGTGCTTGAATGTCTAGCTTGTGTCTGTTTTGTAGAGTTCGTCATACGGATGCGAGAATAAATATGTTCATAAATAACTGTATTGACTTATATATGTGAGTTGTGACGATAATTTTATTCGACGATCTTTGGGAGATATTCTAAGGGCGTACTACGAGTCCATGATGACGTAAGTCCATGATCACATGATGAATCCCAGAGCGGGCCTGCACACGCCAAAGCTCCCACCCTCACTAACTCCCCCCCCCCCCGTCCGCAGGTGCCGGCGTGCGGTTTCGGTTCAGCGACGACGCCACGTTCGACCTGATCACGCTGTACTCCAACACGAGCGAGGTGCGGCGCCGGCGGACTCTGGGCGGCGCCGCCTCACAGACGCGACTGTACGCGTCTGTTAACGAGGGCGGCCGACTGAAGATGGAGCCGTTTGTGACCGATCTGCTGCAGCACGCCGATGGAGTGGTGCATGTGGTCGAGGCGGCAGAGGAGAAGGGAGGTGAGAAAGAGGGTTGGGAGAAAAACCAAAGGGACGGGAGAAGAAGGGAAAGGACAAGAGAAGAAGTTCAGGCGGGTGAGGGAGACTGTTAGAAAGGGAAGGGAGAAGGCGAGTGAGGAGCAGATAGTAAAGCCTGTCACCCAGAATCGTACCTCGCCGCCTTACACAATCATTCACTGCGAACTTTGAGGTGTATCCCCGCCTTCCCCCGCCGCCCCGACGAAGTGCTATTTGCGGGAGCTTATTTAACCGGCAGAATCCTGCTAGTAAATGTTTGGTCACGACCGCCTGAGATCAGAGGATTATCATCAATTGCATCTTGCATCTTCTTCTTGGAGCTCCGCTCCGTTTATTTACCTTCATCATCATTTGGCCTTTTCTGTCGATCTCTCTCCTCTCTCCCTTTCCCTCCCTTCTCTCCCCTTTCCCTTTCCTCCCCTCCCCTCCCTCTCCTTTCTTCATCTCGCCCCACAGAATACAGGTGCGATTCTCCCACTCGTACTCGTTCTCGTATGTCACCTCGACTCTTTACATCCCCTTCTCCAGCCTAAGGTCATATTAAAGCCCTAACCCTCACTCCCATCCTCTGCCCCACAGAACACAGGCCTCAGTCCCCGTCTCTAACTCCCTCTCCCCGGAGACTACGGATTCGAATCGCTGGCCTATCATAGTTCCCTCAAACTTTCACTCCCTTTACCATACCTCCCTCTTCTACAGACTACGGGTTCAAATCGCTGACCTATCTTAGTACACTCAGACTTTCACTGCCTCTAACATACCTCCCTCTCCCTCAGACTACGGTTTCGAGTCGCTGGAGCGCGAGGCGATGCAGGAGGCGATGACGGAATCTGGCCGCCAGCTGCCTCTGCTGACGCTGCTGCTGGCCGCTGAGCCGCCCCACAGCCGCAGCAGCACACTCGGATGGAGGGCTCAGCAGCGGCTGGCGCCGCCACCGGCAGGACCCCATGCAGTTAGTGGGGGCCTGGGTGAGGGTGGGGCTAACTAGCGGCTACTCCTTCCCGTTGTAGTGCTACTGATGGTGTTGGTGTTTAGAAGCTAGCTGGACAGGGTGCTGATGCTCTTGCTGTGGATCTTCTTGTGGAGACTTGCTATTTCTATCTCGTGGACTAGGAGTGTCTGTGATTAATTTAGTTGTCTTGTTGGCACTCTTTCCCTGGCCGTCTCAGTTGCTGACGTCTCTTCCCTCTCTTTGGGTACTGATCTTTCTCCCCTCTCCCCTTTCTATCCCCTCTCTCCTTTCTCCAGTCGCTGACCCCCTCTCCCCTCTTTCCAGGTACTAACCACCTCGGTGTGCAGTTTGACCGACCTGTCACACGGGTTCAGCTGGCTCACCGCCGTCTGTCGACTGGAGAAACGACAACACGAGGCCGCGCCCGATCGACCCGAGCAGGCAGAGTTCGCCTTTGGGGCCACCGCTTCCGCCGCTGCCGCGACAGCCTCAGGGGGTACCTGAAAGGACGGAAGGTTATAAAGAGGGAGGGAGGGAAGGGAAGCGTGGGGCTGGGTAGAGGGGGAGGTGTGATCGGGAGGGCTGGTAGAAATGATAAGGAAAATGATTAGGCTGTATGCATATTGAAGGTAGGCATTGCTAGAAATGAGACGTTAAAGTCCATAAAAGGACATGCATTGAAGTGTCACGTTGATCAGGGCATTGAATAGGGGCATTGTGATGACCCTATAGGTGATTAGGGTTTGAGAAGGATAGTTTATCAGAATCAATGCCTGGCAAGGTGCGTGATCTTCAGAATGGGGCCAGCCGCTGCGAATTTCGGTAAGCTTGGTGGAGTTTGGTTCGCCCTTAAAGTTCGGCCCCAGCTCTAGCTCATCTGGAGATCAGTATTATACGATGTGCAGAATACGTATAACTGTCAAAGTAGACAGCCAGAAGAAGCATCTGATTTTGTATCAGCTTGTCAATGTCCTTCCTAATATGTCGGAGATGTTATAAAGGAGAGCTTGTTAATTTTTAAAATAATTTATTTGTATTCTCTGATCTGTTTATACCGTTGTTTACTGACCAGTTTGCATGAAGTTAGTGTTGGTGCCTTTGATTTTGTTTCTTTGTTACTTGTTTGAGGGTTTGTATTATTTAACGTTTTAAGTTGGCTAACGTTCGCGTTTAACGTCCGAGGCGAACAGTATTCACCGGTCGACGATGGTTCATGATGTCGTGAGGCACCGATGTGTTCGCGTGCTAGCCCATAGTCCGCTGATCCGAATACGGTGACATCTGGCGGGCAGGCGCGAGTGCCCTATTTGTGTGCGTTCCGCAACGACAGGCCCCGTCACCTGAGGTGACTTCTCCAATTGAGGAGACACATGGCATGGAGTCGTATTTTGCCTCTGGTGTGAACAGCATAAGAAAGTGTCGGTTCTGAGCCGTGATACTCCTTCTTCGCACGACCACGTGTTCTTTCTCGCCCATGACTCTACCAAAGCATCTACACTGCACTTAGAGTACGCTAGTCTCGCAGGAACTCTATTTTACGCAAAGTGGTTCAACTTTTCACAAATTCTGCGAGTTTTATCATGTTTTGTGCGTAAGTTTGCGGGAGGCTCTGTCGTTTCCCTCGCAGTACACCCGCTACAAGCCATCCTGTGAACTGTGGTCTATATCGTGACCGTGTGCAGGCGTGAGCTGGGTTCGGTGCCTCCTGTGAGTTCAGTGAGCTCTGTGAGTAGCCACCCACCGACCACCAGTTAACTCACTTACCCATTGGGTCGGCTCGGCAGCTGTGCTCCGGTGAAGCTTTTGGTCTCGGGTCGAGGCTAGCTGTCGTTTTTATGCTGGCTTTTGCACTGAAACTTTGAGAAATGAGAAGTCAGCTAGCATTGCATCACTTAAAGTAGTTAAACTCCTTTGAGGAGTTTTGCCGCTAACCAGCCTGTGGTATTATAGACGACCGGTCGCGAACTGGCTTTAGTTTCACCAAAGCTTTGTGAGATGAGCGCGTGATGATGGTTACAGCCCTCACTGGGGTGTTCTGAGGTCACTGAAGGGCCCTCGCGTCCAGTGCCTGCGATCAGGCCCGTGCACTGCTGTGATACTGTTTTTCTATATCGAATACATGATTGGCACCCGTTCGGTACTGTTTGGTTGGTTTTGAGATTCGGAATGCGAGTTTTGCTGCCAATGGAACAGGGGTTGTGCCGTCTGCGAGCTCTTATAAACGATTTCGGCCAACATATGCATATGCAATGAAGCCGTGAAGCGAGAATGTAGTCCGGATGCTTGAATTGAATAGTTAATAGTTAGAAAATTAGCAAGAATCCTGTACTTCCATTAAATGACTGGGTGGCACATACTAGGCGACCGAATTAGATATTGAGCGGTGGCGTCACGGCGGTTTCGGTGTGTGACAAACGAGCGAATAGCGAGCGGTAATGGCTGCCGGGCTGAGCGTCGGACCCATATTGCCAGCTTGGCATTCTCTTCTATCATCCGAAGAAGGAAATCATAATTTCCCAACCTAAAACGAGCTCACAAAGTTCAATAACAAAAACAAAAAAGTCCAGGAAAGCGACATCAATAGGAATATTGCCTTGCCTTGAATAGGACGGAAAGACAGGTGGGATTTTGTCCTGCTAATGTGTTGTGAAGCGCCTTTTAAATGAACGGTATGAGAAATATAGGTAGGTACCACTACCTACCTAACTTTCGACAAAACTTTTAGGAACATGCAGTTTCAGTGGCCTAATAAGTTACCTAATGAACCTTATACAACATCCGTTATCAGAAGACAACAGCACAATTACGCAATCGTAGCCTGGATGCACTGACTTTGTAGTAAAACTCGGTAAAACTGACGTGCCGACCGGCGACCGCTGTGCCTCGTGCTACGCGTTTAGTACTAATTACACCTCCCGCCGTTAGATGGCAGGGCGGTCACGACGCCTGAATTCACGCTGCGCCGCACGACTTGGTGCTAGTTATAGCTTCTGCTACTAGATGGCAGGCATGGCGTACGCCTGAAGGTAGGCTGTACCGCATTACACAACCGGTCTGGTTTCGCGGCTAGGCTTGAGAATGGCCCGCAGATGGATTTCGATGGATGAGTACATAAGGTATTGTGAGTGATCAGTAACGTGAAATGACTGATGAGACTGATGAAATGACTGACTGATCAGTCATGGATGAAATGACTGTAAGTTACACCCTACCGCAACGGTAGTTTGTGAGAGTTTTCTGTTTTTCTTATGAGTTTCTGAGCTCTGACATATGATCTCTGATACGAAAACGTGTTCATTAAAGGTTTGTTAACTTTCCAAATGACTTTTCACTTAATCTTACATCTAAATGCAGTTACGCAGGAAACTGCAAACACTCCTCGTCACTTCAAACCTGTATTTACAAGAGATCGTGTGGATATAACTGAACTGGAGGACACACATTGAGATCACATGTAATTGGAGCTTCATTTCCGCTTTACTAGCGGATATACGCTGTGGTGTGGTGGGAACAACTGCAGTTAGTTTGCTACACACCCTATGATCATGCAATTTAATCAAACACAAAAACATTAAAAAGGCACGCGTAAAATGACCTATGTTTCGGAGAAAAATAATACAAACACGCAGGCAATTTCTGCAGTAGAAACCAGGTCCTAGGTAAAACAGAGGTAGACGAAATGTGTCCAAAATTGAGAAGCAAATTTACAACGATTGTTCGCCTCCAGACTGAACAGTGAGGCTCGTACATGTCGGCGCTAAGCCACACTGTCTCGGGCCCGGTCTGCGGGCACTGGAGGGCCGCACGGACCGCACGGATCGGCCACGGACGGGCCTGTCTCGGTCAGCACGAACACACAGTAGACGGACGGATACAGTTCAGCTCCACACAGCAGGTCACATAGACGGACGGAAACAGATCCGACCGGACGGACTCACTTTACGTACTCCGTGTCTGGACGGATTCACTTCACACTGGACGGATTCACTTTGGGCGGAGTCATCCGGACTCACTTTGGACGGACACGGTTACCATCATACACAGTATACACGCGACAAGCCGAGGTGTACATAACCTCAGCAATTAGAACACGTTATCGTTGATATCAACAAATCACACACGCAAGATAGCCAACACTAGGGCTGATAAATAACTACAAAGAACACGTACTGTGCGCTGCTTTCTGACCATTGCTTACGCTAGTGAAAAGATTTCTTAAGTAGGTCTGATCACCACCGTTTGGGTGTTACCAAAACGCTGAATTCATGTTCCCAGGCAGGTAACAACAAAACAAACAATCCCCATTCATAGTTATGACAATTCATGCCCTTTTGTATGAGAAGAAAAATGTCGCGAAATCAGTATTTTCCACCTCATTTTGAACAATGATGTAATATCGTTGATATTGAATGTTGAGTATTCATTTATGAAGCGGCCCGTAGTCCGTACTGAATGAAATGGTAGGTTCCTTGGCTGGTTGAACGGACTTGTCACGACTGATTAAATAGTGATTGATTTCCATCTCTTTTTGAGAACATACCCAAAATTTGAAACAATATATCTAAGAGGTATTTTGGGAACCTTTCTCTTAAGTCTTAAGTTTTGAGAAACTTGCAACGTTACATATCTTGCAAACCCTTCAGAATGGAAAAGAAAGAAAAGTAGAAGGAAAACAACCGATACAGCAACCAATGCAAGAAAATATGGCATCGAAGCTGCTCCAGAGGGTATGATGTGTTAGCGGCTAGTGCCCTTCTAAACCAGTGTGGGTGACGAAGTTACACTCACAAACGGAGTTACACCCACAAACGGAGTTACCCTCACGAACGGAGTTACACTCACGAACGGAGTTACACTCAACAGAGCTACACTCACACCAGAGGCATACGACCAGGAAGACTCACCAAAACTCTCCACTGCAACAAATGTGACGTTCAGAGAACCTCAACAACACATCCACACACTCAGCGCACACACACACATAGCCTGCACCAACACATTATCAATCAGTGAGAAACGAGGACTTGGCGAAGAAGTGGCCACTTGGATCAGTGATTAGCGGAACAGCTCTGATCAGAATAAAAAGAACAAGGTTTTTGTTTCAGTGACACGAAATGTGAGGTAAAGGCCCAATTCTTGGCCTTACGTCAAACGGTACAATTTGTGCAAAATATCACCAATTTCGGTCACATAATTATGTAAAATATTGTGCCGTTTTGCGTCCGTTATTGCGCTAAGCCAGGCGAGATCTAAACAAGTGCCACGTGAATGGAGATGCAAACTCGAGCAGCACAAATGAGCCTCACACCACCTCACAATAAAAATATACACATCACTTCAGCACACATCTCATGTAACCGGACTGGCGCCGAAATATCTCCGCCAGTCGGTCACAAGTCTGCAGTCTTTGTACAGCATCGGACGGTTCAGAAAATGACCGCGGCCGCCGACGGTGGGGCGTCCAACGGGACGATTCTCCCACCCCACTCTCGGCCGCGGCTGGGACGGATAGTGTGTGCAAACACACTGCAACACACAAACGCACACACACACGGGTGCCACGCGCGGGCTGCGCGCCCTGGCACCCTTTCGTTGGTTTCCGCAGCCGGTCACTGCGGAATGCTGCCAGTCGCTGCCACAGACACACAGCAGCAAACTTCAGCACTGATTATCTGCGTCAGAGCCACACAGGCTCAGAGGTCCTCGAGAAACAATACCTTTTCTGTCTCACTGTGTGGGTGCAGATTCCAGAACCGCAAACACTGGGTGTGATGCTTCAAATCGCACCTCTTCATTTTACGAATTTCACAGATGTTTGCGTTCATTGTGCCACACCTAAGCGACGTTGCGCTATTGGCGACAAAAGTGCGACTGAACGGAGTATATGGGTCCAAGAGACTACACTGTAGTCCCGTTTGAGACTAGAGGAAGGGATCGCCTTGCTGCGATGACTAGATGTCGTTGCTGAAGAGCTCGTGGCCTGTGAGCCTGACTAGAAGTCCACCTGTCTTGAAAATCCTTCACACCACGACGATGCGAGGTGCGTCACAAAGAAGACTACAACCTACAATACCGTCAACTTTGCCTTTCTCCATCTGCAAACCTCATCCTTCGAACTCCCTGCAACCAGCAAGCTTTCCATCGGTTTGCCTATTGCATTCCTTCGTCGCAATCTTCAACGGCATTTCACCTCCCCACGTCCAGTGTCTGCTTCACAGCAGTGACCGCTGTTGCAGCTTCTCTCCTTCGTCTACATGCTGGTGACCATGCCTTCCATATCGATCAGACCATCCAGGTCGAGGTTGGGGTCGAGCATACCCAGCGCCCTGCTGATCTCCCACTGTGACGTGTAGCCGGGCAGAGGCGCGTGACACGGCACCGCCGGCTCCAGGGAGAGCAGATCGGAGGCGTGGAGCGGCGCGGCCGGCAGCGCGCCGTGCTGCGCCGCCCCGGCGTACAGCGACAGGTCCAGACTGCTGGCTAGCGAGTCGGGACTCTCACTGGAGGCGTCGCTGAGCTCCGAGTGACTGAACTCACCCAGCTCCTCGCCGCCGGCCAGACTCTCCGGACTGAGCTCGATCATGGAGAGCGTGGCCGGCGTCAGCAGCTGCTGTGACTGGTCGGTGGTGGTGAAGCAGAGCCCGTCCACCTCGACCTCCTGGCCTGTCGTGGGGTCCCACACCGTGGCACGTGTCAACGGCTCCAGGCGAGTCTGACACGGCGGCGCGACCGCCGGAGCCGCGGCGGCGGCTGGCGTGCGCTGTCGTACCCGCTTTGTGTATCCCGGCCGCAGGAACGGAGGACGTCGCTTCTTGAACACGCCGTTGACGATGTTGTTGGAGTATTCAGGGTCGAGTCGCCAGAAGCCGCCTTTGCCGGGTTCGGATTTGGAGCGCGCCACCTTCATGAAGCACTTGTTGAGCGACAGGTTGTGTCGGATCGAGTTCTGGAACAAAGGAGGGCAGAGGTTAAAAGCGGGTGAGCTAATGTGCCGAGACATTACAATCAACCACACGACGATGTTCCTCAAACTGAGATTAACCCTCGCCCGCACATGCCATTTTCCCATCCTAGAACGCACATGGGGGGGGTGGTTGCCACCCCCCCCCCCGCGCCATTTCGTTCCTGTTGGAGATAGAGCTTAGCAGTAAGGACCAAAAAGATTCTTTGGGAAGAGACGAATCCAATGATACCCAGTTTTACCTTCTCAGGTCAGTCATTGACCTTCCAGGTCAGGTCAAACTAAAAAATGTTGCTGTTTTGGGTCACCGTTGGATATCAAGTGCGCTGCTTATCAAATACCGATGACGATGCTGTTTTCTGGTGCCAAGCCAGCTAGAACCTCTTTGTCACACTATCCGACCAGAATTTTGCTGCTGAGGTCATTTCAGGTCAAGTTAGGTCAAGGTCAATTATATGTGTTTGTATGTCTGTGTGTGTCTGTGTGTATACTGATGTGTGCACCGATTGTTTTTGGGTCCATATCACATGAAATCATGATCTGAGAAGCTTTTACCAAAAATGCAGTAAAAAAACTTCACAAAAAGTAAATTCAGCTTGCCTAAAACGCAATTATCTTAGATGACCTAGGTTGACCTTGACCCTGACCTTGACCCCTGTACATCGTCGAACAACATGTTCCATGATAGGTGGGAGGTAAGACTGGCAAAAAAGGCCGAAATCAGGGTGTCAAAAGCTCACAAGGCCCATGGCAAACGCAAGATGTTGAGAATTGGCCATTTGGGTCATGACATGACCTGAAAAACAAGGTCATATCTCCGAAACCAAAAATCACAGAAACTTGAAATTTTGAGTGGACATCAAGAAAGAACAGACGAGCAGCTATACGAAAAATCAACCGTCTAGCTATAAAAATGTTGAGTGCAGAGCAGAAAGACTGCCTGGGGGGTGGCAACCACCCCCCCATGTGCGGGCGAGGGTTAATATTTATCACACATGAACGAATAAACACTTACAAATACACTATGTTTCTCTCTCTCTCTCTCGCTCTCTCTCTCTCTCTCTCTCTCTCTCTCTCTCTCTCTCTCTCTCTCTCTCTCTCTCTCTCTCTCTCTCTCTCTCTCTCTCTCTCTCTCCCTCTTCTCTCTCTCTCTCTTCTCTCTCTCTCTCTCTATCTCTCTCTCTCTCTCTATCTCTCTCTCTCTCTCTCTCTCTCTCTCTCTCTCTCTCTCTCTCTCTCTCTCTCTCTCTCTCTCTCTCTCTCTCTCTCTCTATTTACCAAAAATAGCGGATAGAATGCTTCAGATATCTATCTTTATTGCTTTTTCGCATGCGCATCGCGTTTCAGTAAAATGCCGGAAACCGTCCCAAGGAAACAACAAGGTTTCCCAATATACAGAGTATGACGCTAACTACCTACCAATAGCTGCTCGCAACCGACTACCGGTTTCTCGATATAGCAATGCTCCAACAACGGATGGGTAAGTGTCTAATTGAGCGGAAAAGGCGCTGTCTAGTACCGAAATGATAGTACCAATGCTAAGTGCCTGAAATATATGGGTCCAAATAAAATGTTCCGATATACGACGGCCTTTTTCTTCTCTTATATCATGTTTTTATACACGTGCGTGCGCGTACCTATAAATATCAACACATCATAAAACGCATAATCGCATAAAGCGTTTTTATGCGATAAGAAAACGCAATGAAACCCAACCCATAGAACACTTTTTCCACACCATATTAGTCCAACACAGTCTGGATATAGCGGCCAACCAGTCATGACTCGCACCATGCTCATTGGTCAGCCGTGGCATGCCCGGCTTTGCATGTTCCCTGGACATTCGGCGCAATGCCAGACACTTTGTCGGCTGACCGGCCTGTGCAGTCCACTGTCAGAAAATCAATAGAACTCATACGCTGGGTTTTATTGAGCGAGGAATTGGTGAAGTAGGACGACCGTAAGGCGGTCGGTAGGTGAAAGGCGGGCGCTAAGGCGAGGCAGTAAGGACAATTGGCGAGGGCTTTAGTGGGTGTTAGTCCTTGTGGGGAAAGAGCAATCATAGCTGTATGGAGGTCAACATGCTTTTCACGTTTGTTCTGCCAGTGCCCAATGCAATCAATGCAACCAATAATGGTTCTTCTTACAGCAAAGTGGCTGAAAAATTACTTGGCTTTCTGACACAAAACTGGTAGAACGTCGAGGAAGGCATGCCCTTAACTTTTATATTTCACATGTCAATGATAAAAACATGCGCCTCTTTGAGCGTTCCCTGAAGACCTCTGATATTTTCACTGCCTTATATTTTATCCCTCCCCAGCGAACCGACAATTGTCTTTCTCAATAACATCTTACAGAGCCCTTACCGTCTCACACATTACACAAAGTTAGCGAATTATTCCATATAGCCAGTCAGTCAGTCAGTCTGCATGCCGGCCTGTCTACGCTATACGCTCGGCAGAAGCGGCGAGGACATGCATTATTTCGTGCGTCACGTCGATTTGGAGGGTGATAGCGGAAGCATCATCGTTCGCGGCACGTGTCAGGGGCTGGTTCGTGCGCCCCTACCCCGGTCTGTAGCCCCTCGCCGCCTCATCACGCCCCCTCCCGCTGGGCAGTGTCCCCTGTGCTTCAGTTCTCCGTGGCCAGGCTGGGACCATGACGGGAGTGTTGGCCGTTAGAGGGGAAATGTTTGGTAAGTGGTGGACGCTGGACAAGTACAGAGAATGGTGACTAGTGGAAATGTGATTGGAAGTGCTTGTGCCGTGGAGGGGAGGGGGACAGAGGCTGAGAGAGAGAGAGAGAGAGAGAGAGAGAGAGAGAGAGAGAGAGAGAGAGAGAGAGAGAGAGAGAGAGAGAGAGAGAGAGAGAGAGAGAGAGAGAGAGAGAGAGAGAGAGAGAGAGAGAGAGAGAGAGAGAGAAGAGGCGAGAGGTCAAAGAAAACGAGAGCGAAAGTTAAGTTCCTAATAATAAGCATCACATGACAACGCGCTTCAGGGGCTACAGTTTGTAACTATGAGCTGTCCTCCAGTGAGGTCTTTGTTTTGATCATAGAAACGGAAAGCAAACATGCAAGTCAGAGTTTAAAGCATGGCGTTTGACTTAAAAACAACTACGTACTGGTAATGGTAAAAGGAATCTGTGTGTAGATAAACAAAGCAGAACAGCCTGGCACATTAGCCAGAATAGCAGAAATGTTGAGGATTGCCGGACTCGGAAGTAAGGACAGATTCACTCAACGTTTCCACCCAGAGGCTAAGTGTTTGTAGGTGCGGCATTAGTAAGCTGTTAGGGAGTGGAGAGCCATGTTATCCATCAGAGTGTGCTGAGGTAGACGATACTCTGCGCAGACAGGTAGTCAGAACAGGATAACGCTGGACAGGTGGGGGGGGGGGGGCGAGTCGGGTAGAGGGGGAGAGGGAGGGAGAGGGACAGAGAGGGGGAGGACGGCCGGCTCTCGCCAGCTAGGTCGATACCAGCCGAGCTGGACATGCCAGTGGCCGCAGGGGCGCGGCCAGCAGGCATACCTGGGGGCACAGGGGCGCGCTTAGGAGACACCACTAGGCGTAGTGGCGCGCTCAGAAGACACGCCTATAGGGGAAGACGCAGGGGCGTACCTAGGAGACACACTGGGGGAGACGCGCTCATTGGAGCCACATGACCCAGCCATCAAAAGACACTCGAGAACGTCCGGCCTGAGTGAGTCCAGCTCACATGACCACTCTGAGCTTATCACAGGCAAGACTGAGTCAGTTGAGTCGCCCCCTGGCCTCCTTCTCAGGACCCCTGGGCGCGCCCCTGGCTCTCGCGTGTCGGCGCCATGTCGCCAAAGGTCCATTTGCAGCAGAGGGACACTGGCTCTGCCTCTGATTTATTGAAGCCCACTCACCAGTCGTGTCCGGGCCATTTGGCCGCGCGGCCGTGGCTTTCTACGCGCTCGGCACGTCATAAGAGTAGGAGTCGTTGATTGGCCGAGCTATTCTCGGCGCTGGCCAATCAGCGTTCAGTGAGAAACCCCAGAGTGCTCCTCGGGTGCAGCGGTTAACCTGGTAGGTTTCTGTTTTGCAACTGGGAACGCGATCAAGGCGGGAAGTAGCAAGAACGTGCTTTGCTGAACCAAGCCCATTGTGTGCTGCTTCTTAGAGACAAAGTGGCAGAGTTTGCTAAACACAGTAGTCAAAGAAATAGGACCTAATGTCATCTTCGAAAGTCAACAGATCCTTTGCTCTGTAGAAGGATGGTGCCTGAACAGGGGCTGAACTATTTAATCTTCCGAGGCTATTCAGATTATGCTCCTGACATAAAGACCGTAAAATGAGAACACGATCAGCCACTCATCCTCCTCTCCTCGAGAATGTAACGCCCTAATTTTTACGAGGCGTGTCGTGATGTGCAATCATCACTGCATTTCCCACCTCAGTCTCACTGCACGTTGCACATACCTACATGCAGTGGCGTACCCAGGAATTTGCGAAGGACCAGGGCATTGGACGAGAGGGCGCCAATCAAGGAGGGCGCCAACAACAAGGAGGGCGCCACATATCTGAAACTTGAATGTGTCAGTTATGTTCGTACACGTGCGGAACGAACATAACTGACATACTGGACAGAGGGGCGCCACCCACCATCATCTAGGAGCGCGACGCTATCGATTGGAGGGGCGCCAATACTGGACAAAGGGGCGCCACCGGCCCACCATATCGTCTAGGAGGGCGCCACTATCACCAGAGGAGCGCCAATACTGCACAGAGGGGCTTCGCCATCAACTAGAAGCGCGCCGCTATCGACTGGAGGAGCGCCAACACTGGACAGAGGGGCGCCAGTCACTGAGGGCGCCGGGGACGATGAGCCAAAGGGACAGGGCATGCACGGAATGTCCTGTATGTGCGTACGCCACTGCCTACATGTCGGTAAAGAAGGTTAGCTCTATCCCAGCGTAGGCCAGAGACTCCTCCGTTGATGTCACTCACTGGCCACTGCAAGTT